CTGCATAAAGACTTCGGAAAATTTGGGCTTCACAGACGATTTATGCTTGATATCACACAAAGTTGATAATCTACAGGCGAAAAACCAACAAATTGGAAGGACAAACAGCAAGAAAGGACTTCACGTAAACATAGAGAAGATGGAGGTGATGAAGACGCTTAGCCGAAAACAAGCACAAAACAGTATCAGCGGCATAAATTTGAAGGAAGTCACTTATATCAATAAGTCACGACTTTCGCTTATCTAAACAGCATCGCTTCAACTACAGGCAGTACGGACGGTGATATCGAACCCACGGTCAGAAAGGCAAGACAGACCTTTGAAATCAGTGCGGAAATCTGCTGCACTCAGCACAAAGAATAAGATTTAGATCTTCAACACTAAAGTCAAATCAACGTGCTTCTATATACGTTTCAGAGACTTGGCGTATCGCAGAAAGCATTTCCAAGAGACTGCAGACTTTTGTCAACAGCTGTCTTCGCTTAATATAGAAGACTAGAAAGAATTAGCAACAAGGAACTTTCGTAACGAACAAACGAAGAATTCATAGACCAACAAATATGCCATAGAAAATGGAGATAGATCGGACACACCCTGAGGAGACCGTTGAGTGACATCATACGCCAAACTGTCGAGTAGAAGTCGAATAGAGAATGACGAGTTGGGCATGGTTCCGAAGGTGATATGAAGGAGATCATGTTAGGAGGAAATAAAAGCTTATGGGCAATAGTGGAGCCAGTTAGAAAAGACTGCAGAATACATAACGAAGTGGAAATATGCTTCTGAGGCACTCTGCTCAACTCAGAGACCAAGGGTATATATACATATGACAGCTTCATAGTGACCCTACTATTACCAAAATCATCCACCTTAGCTAAAGTTTTTCTACATCATTCCTAATCGTAACATGTGCTGGAGATACTATGTCTGAGTAATTAGCCAACAGTTAAATGAACTCATCCAACTCAACTGCCTGGATTTATTCACTTGTGCCGCCAGCACTTTTAGGATTATATGTAGGTTATCGTAACTTTTTACTATTTCATTTTATTAGCTCTATTAATCTTGTAGATTCGAAAATTCACTTCATCCATAAAATACTAAAAATTTGGCAAAATATAAACTACAGTTATAGATTCCTAATAATTAAAGAATTATTGATATTGGCAACATTAATGTTTTTAAAAACTAACATTTCAAGAGGTATATGCAAGTGGATTGTTAACAGATTATTGTTGAAAACATTTGTGTATGCATAAATATAACACAAAATTGAATATCAGGTTTCGAAGGTAAGAGGCCAGGGTAGCAATAGTGGTGGGCAAAAGAAACAAATCCAGCCACTATTCCTACCCTAGCTAACTACTGTATTACATCTTACTTTCTAGGCATGACCTTTCATCCTGTGTATGTATAAATTCCCCTAACCCTTATTATTGCATTCGTATTTAATGAACCTTTTATTTTCTTAATTGAATTTTATTAATTCACTTACACACTGACTCACATATACACAGACATAACTTTCTACCCCCTTATCTCTCTCTTCTTGATATTATCATTTATCTATATGAAGTTTATAATCAGTATGAATATTCGCCATGAGCACTCATTACTATATATTCGTGATCATTATTGACTTTTGAAATCAGATTTCCAATTTAGTGTTACATCTAAGTATACTATCATATACACGCTTTTCGAATTTATAACCCTTCCAGTTTATCCAAAATATTGCTGAACCGGATGTCGATGGCTCGCGTTTGATGTGACATTTTATGTTATTTCACTTTTCACGAATATTTGTGATGCAGAAAATGAATGTCCTATATCTAAGCATTGTTTGAAGAAGTTACTGTATTTGCAGTAAAGAGGTGCCCTTTTTTCGTTCAATAACAAACTGTATTTTCAAAAACGGATAGCGTGGCGATGGGAAGGAAGCCCATTAGTGCCTCTATCTTCAGATATGTTTCTAGCAAGTTTAGAATATACTACCTTAAAGGACTGTATAGGAAAGGCTGATATATTCATAGTATGTAGAGATAAGATCGAAGCTGAGATAATGTCGGAAAAATTTAATTCGTGACATGCTAGTATAAAATTTATAGCGGAACATGAAGATAATGATACTATACATTTCCTGGATGTAAATCTGCTTAAACGAACTGATGAAAGTGTAGAGAGATCGATTTGTAGAAATCCAACTTGGACGAGACAATCTGTACATTCCAATAGCTCCGTCCAAGTCTAATACAAGAGGAGTCTGATTAGAACATTATCAGATAGAGCAAGAAGGATATGTTCAAGTATCAGACCAGACTACGAAGAGAAATTCTTGAAGAGAGACACTAGTGAGAAAAGGAGGGTATTCGGAAAGGTTTATAAATAAGTATGTAAAAGACAATAAGGGAAAAGCAATGTCAGAGACTGTTTCTAAAAAGGTTTACACAAAGTTACCTTATAAGGGAGATAATGTTACTCAATTGGTGAAACGTCGTTTGGAGAAACCAATTAAACGAATCCTTTATACAGCTGATAAATACAACAAAGGTGATAGTGCAAGTTACAGGCAAAGATAAGACATCGATCCTCGACACATCGAAACGTGCATATCAATTTACATGTGCTGGCGGAAGCATATGCATCGGGTGTAAGGAAAGATGTCTTTCGACCCGAACACTGCCACAAATGGTTTTCTAAGTATTCATGATGGCGTCCTAAGGAGCTCAATCACAGTACATTTATTGGACTGTGATCATACGGTGACCTTGAATAGTTATTAAGCAAGGTGATTAAAATGCTATTGGTTTTGCAGGAGCCTGCTCAATCAGATTAAAAAAGCAGGATCTATGTATACAAAAGGAGATAGTAGTTACCTCAAATCTACCTTGGTAACATACTTTTATTTTACTTCCATAATTTTCCTTTGCTTCCCTCTTCTGTTTACAAGGTTGTAATAATAATAATAATATCAATACACTTTAGAATGCCTTGCATACATAACAACTTCGTCACAATTATTGAGATACATGAAAAGTCTGCACGAACATTGAAAGCATAACACATCACAAGCAAAAATCAATAAGAAAATCCGAGCGAAAAAAGCTTTAGTGTATTATAGTTACAAAATAATACAAAATGGATAAAATTAACTCATGTGAAAAACTTCATCAAAAGATGTCTACCCTCAACTCAACCGAACAATGAAAACAAAAGAAGAAAAATCGTCCTAGGATACATGAATAACATCTCTGGAAGCACTGAAAGACTACTAAAACCTTTTAGAATAGATTTAGCCCACTAATTAACAAAACTTCTTCAATCGAATACTATATGAACCAAAAGACTTAACGATAAAAGGAGAGAATGAACGAAATATTCCCATATTGAGTCATAGGAAAAAAGACATAATCAACCAAGAAAATTTTCTTTTCGACGATTCATTTTCAGAAGGTTTAGAATCGTAATTATATTTAACAAAAAAAATCATAAGACCAATCAGATACTGGTAAAATTTGTCCTCGAAAAATGTATTACGTAATGTTGGGTGTAACCTAGAAGGGGTGACTAACTGGAAGTTAGAAAAGAGGCAGAAGTTGGCATGACGTAATAGGTGTGAGAAAATGACTAATCAGTAAAATTGCGTAGAATGGACAGGAACTAGTGGAAAGACAATAGTGTTTTTATGTAAAATCTGCATGAAAACGCAATGTTATTAAAAAAACAGTAAGAGAGGGATAATAAAATACGGATGATGGGAATAATAATGATAATAACAATAATAATAATAGTGAACTTACATAATAAAAAAGAAGCAAAATGATACCAACAACGTTACTCTGGCGACAGTAGGGCGAGTGAATGTATGTAGCGCTTTTGAATGCAGAGGTCCGGTTTCAGATCCCGAATAGCCAATGATTCAGCTATGTAAAGATGGCGTATGCGAAGTCCTTTCGTGCAATATTGAGGAACTCTGTGTAGAATTGTGAAGCATTCATGCAGGGGTGCTCGATGTCCGGAGATGACAAGGTGTTCGAGGATGGATCTGCTAGTATTCCTCCTTTCTCCTCTGGCTAGCCAAGCTGGACAGTGTCCCAGAATACGTTTGCGGAATTGACGTTGCATACGACCGATATATTTTGCTCCACGTGAGCAAGTAAACTGATAAATACACATTGAAGTGGCCAAAAGAGTTATCTTATCCTTAACGTTGGAATGGATAAACTGTCTGCTGGAGAATGTGATACGTAAGGTGGCTGCTTGCATTGTCTTCTTCAGACATTTGGAAAGGCGGTTTCTAAGAATTTCTGTTTCGATGTCACCTCTGAATTCCAGGTTCATGAAGAGAGTTTTTTAGGAATAGTTGTGATTTTTGGCGACGGAGGTTTTTCTTTCATGTTTTTGTCTATGAATCTTGGTGGATACCCGTTCTCTAGGAGGGTTTCACGTAATAAATTTAATTCTTTCTCTATCGTGTCTTCCGAACAGATTTTCCTAATCCTTGAACTTAATGTACGTACTAGTGTTTGCTTTCGGATTAGTGAGATAAAGCTCTGGAAGCTGATAAACTGAAGAGTAGACTAACATCATCTAAAAGATAAATTACAACAACCGTGTGGACGTCCTCTTCATTTTCGCATATACGGACATCAAGTGACTGTCAAAAGACACGACATTCATCCATGCATCAAGAAAACTATAGATACCTTTTCTACTGGGCAGATGTACAAACCTTAGACAAAGGAAACATCAAAAATGTACGGAAATTGTCAGAAACCTGATACTCAGATGAATCTGTAATTTTCAGACATAGATCAGATTTATCAAATAATAAAAACGAAGTCCCATTGGTCAAAAGGTTAAAATATATTCAATACCAATACAAGTAGGTAAAAAGGGTGAGAAAATCTCTGGAAATAACCAATCATGTTCAGGGTTGCCATGATGGATGGCAAATAAGCTCAAAAAGTCTGAGCTGAAGATTTGTAGAAAGATAGTGAAAGCTTTGTAAGCAAACCATCCAGCTCAGAGAATACCATTGCACTAATTTATGAGAATTATTTTAAGATCAAATCGATGAGCCCAGCTAAACGAAACAAGAACAACGAAAAGTATACTTTTTTTTTAGTTTAATATATTTCAAAAAAGATCACATTTTAAGAAGAAATTGACAGAGATTCCGGGGAACTTTTCACAGATTCTGAATTACTAAGTACTTCTATACAACGAGGACATAGTTCTTTTGAAGAAGTGTTATCAGTATACCTATGACAACGTTGACATTTGAAATATTGATTCTCCAGTGGAAATTTAACCGTTACAATTAGGTCATCTAAGTTAAATTTATAACATCCAGGCGTATCAAGAACTCCATTTTGAACTAATCCAGGAGACCATGAAACTGAAGCCGCACGGAGTAGGTAACACAAATCTGATGAAGCAGATGATAATTCCGAAGGATGAAGAACCTGGAAAGTGAGAAAAAACATTACTAGAAACGGTGTCAATATCTAATTACGTAAATTAGTGACTATATAGTCTAAAATCCCAAAGAATAAGCTTTCTCGAACAACAACAAAATTAATGTAGATACCAAAACCAAAGACAGAAAATGTTCATGTTACCCCAAAAGTTTCTGATCCTTTCATGAATTCATTTGAAGAAGAAATCTTTTCAAACATACTCACTCCTAAAATATGGTTAAGATACGTTGACGATACTTTTGTAGTGCTAAACGAGATCTACACAGTTGATTCTTGGAGAAACTGCACAATCTATCTCCCAGAATCCAGTTTACTTCAGAAGCAGAAATCGGTGAACTACCATTTCTAGACTGCATAGTTAAGAGGAGGGAAGATGGACATTTTAGTATATCTATATTCAGAAAGAAAGACCACTCTAACAAATATTCAGACTTCAGATCATCACACCCCAACAGTGCAAAGGTTTCAGTTGTTTTAAGTCTTCTTAAATGGTCACACCCTTTGATAATGGATGAGAAGGAAAAAGAATAAGAAATATCAAACATTACTGAGACTCTCAAGAAAAACCACTACCCAAAGAACTTTGTTGCCAAAATCAACACCAACATTAAACATGGTCGAAAACGTATTCCAAAGATACGGACCTCAACAGTTGTCATTCCATTTCGATCAAAAACGTCAGACGATATCAAAAGATTACTCAATAAACACAACAATAAAGTTTTATTCAAAACATCAGATATACTACAAAGCAACCTTGTCTATATAAAAGACCAAATTCCAAAGCATTCATAATTTAATTGTTTCTATAAAATAAAATGCTTGGGTCGCGATGCGATATACATCGGCCAAACCTTGTGGGAAATTGAGATCAGAAGAAATGAATACCGTAGAGCATCTGTTCGACCGCCAGGACATTTAGTTGAGCCAGAAAAGCTTAAAAAGTTATCAATTATAGGTCTTCACACTATAGAATCAGGACCGACTTGATAACATGAAAATTATCTCATGCTGAAGAACGATGATTAAGTTGCTATATACAAGCTGAGATTTTGTAAATTCTGGCTTAATAATACTTTGATAAATCTATCAGCGTTAAATAGCGAAACGTCAGTAAAAATGATATCTTTTTGCTTTTCATTCATTGGGAAATACAAAACTTTTATAATAAGGGGAATTATGTCTTTGTATGTTGACTGTATGTTGTAGATGGTCTAGAAAGAACCAATGGATAACACTTTTGTGCGTCAGTGATTTGGTAGTGGTTCAATTCTCGGCCGACGCACTCTTAAACATCGCCTAGTTTACTAGTCAATAGAAAACCTGGAGACGAGGAAAGATTGTATGCGAGGTTAGCGACCCACCCTGTAGAAACAATACCACTGATACTGAATCTTCAAAACTTAAAGCTTGAAGCCCTTAACTCCACTAAGAACGCAAGTAATGTAAAATGTCTTTGTAGCCTTTATTATAAATTGAAAAACCATATGATTGGCTGGCTGAGTTTCAACGTAGAAGATTGCACAGAAGTGCAGTAGTTCGAGTTTTCAGACCCTATATTATTATTATTATTATTATTTCCTTTAGTTCCTAGAGGAACATAAGGCTTCAGCCATGCGTCTCCATTGCGTTCGATTCTCTGCTAGAGTTTTCACCTGGCTCCAGGTCTGCCCACATGCTTTCATCTCCTCTTCACATGATCTCCTCCAGGTCACCCTTGGACGACCAACTCGCCGCTTCCCTTTCGGGTTCCACTCGAGGGCTTGTCTAGTGATGTCACTTGCTGGTTTCCTCAGAGTGTGGCCAATCCATCTCCATTTTTTCCTGCCTATTTGTTTCACAATGGGTTCCTGGTTGGTTCGCTCCCAGAGATCTTTGTTGCTGATCCTTTCCGGCCATCTGATCTTGAGTATTGAGCGAAGACATCTGTTAATGAAGGTCTGTAGCTTGTTTGAGGTGCTCTTTGTGACACGCCAAGTCTCTGATCCGTATAGTAGTACTGACTTCACATTGGAGTTGAAAATCCCGATCTTATTTTTGGCGCTGAATGATGTTGTCCTCCACACAGACTTCAGAGTAATGAAAGCTTGCCTTGCTTTCCCGATCCTTGCTTTGATATCCTCGTCAGTTCCGCCTGTAATTGAAACAATGCTTCCCAAGTAGGTAAAGGAGGTAGTTTCTTTCAGGTTTTTTCCATTTATGCTGATTGCTGTCTGTTGTTGTTGTTGGTGTTGGCCAGGGATCTTCATCACCTCTGTTTTTTCTATGTTCACCTGGAGTCCTATCTTTGATGCTTCTTCTGCCAACTTGTTACTTTTCGCTTGCATATCTTCCAGTTTGTGGGAAATCAGGCATATATCATCGGCGAAGTCCAGATCCTCCAAGTTCTTTGTGTGAGTCCATTTTATGCCTGTTTCCTCATTGCCCGCTGTTTGTCGCATTATCCAGTCTACTGCAATCAGGAAAATCATTGGCGATAGTAGGCAAGCTTGTCTTACTCCCGTCTTCTCTTCGTAGGATTCCGTAAGTTTCCCGTTGTGGATTACTTGGCATGCAGCATTGTCGTATAGCTGTTGGATGAGATGTATAATTGTCGGCGGCACCCCGTAGTAGCGAAGTAGTTGCCAAATCACCTCTCGATCGACGCTGTCGAAGGCCTTTTCAAAGTCGATGAAGTTGAGATAGAGAGGTGACTGCCATTCCAAACTTTGTTCAATGATGATCCGTAGTGTGGCGATTTGATCAATACATGACTTGTTACTCCTGAATCCAGCTTGTTCTGGTCGAAGTTTTTCATCCAAGGCTTGTTTGATCCTTTCCAGGATGATGCGGCTTAGTATTTTGCTTGGGATGGAAAGGAGCATAATTCCGCGCCAGTTCTTGCATTGACTTAAGTCTCCTTTCTTTGGTGGTTTGAATAAGTAACCTTTCTTCCAGTCCTCGGGTACTTTGCCTTCTTTCCACACCTTCTCCAGTAGTGGCGTCATCAGGTCTGCTGTTGTCTCTGGGTCGACTTTCAATGCTTCTGCTGGGATTCCATCTGGTCCTGCTGCTTTCCCAGCTTTCAGCATCTTGATTGCCTTCAGGACTTCTGATTTCGTCGGGGGGTTGATGTTCACTGGTAATTCTGCTTCCGTTGTTGGTATTGTTGGGCGCGTTGTAGGTGGCGGTCGGTTTAGTAGTCTTTTGAAGTGTTCAGCCCAGTGTTTCCTTTGCTCCACTTCTTTGGTGATTGACTTTCCATTTTCATCCTTCACTGGCTTAATTTGTGACGAATTTTTGCCTGAAAGGTACCTAGTTGTTTGGTGAAGTGTTGCGAGGTCTCCTTTGCCTGCAGCTTGTTCTGCTTCATTGGCCATGGCTTCATAATACTTTCTTTTGTCTTCTCTGGCACTCTTCTTTACTCCTTTGTTCAGTGTATTGTAGCTTACATTCAACTCCTGTTTCTGTTGCTCGTCGGTGCACTGCAGAATTTTTTGTTTCACCATCCTTCTCTCCTCTATTAGCCTCCAAGTGTCCGTAGTGAGCCACGGTTTGTCCTGTCTCTTCTTTCTGCCCAGAACTTCCATGCAGGTTTCGCTCCATACTGTTTTCAGGTTGTTCCAGTGTTTTTCGACGCTGACCTCTTCACCAGTGTTGATTTGTGTCTCGGCTTTGTCCTTTATACTTGCAGTAAAGATATCCTTTGTATCCTGGTCCTTTAGTTTTTGAGTGTTGAACTTGGCTTGTGGTCTATCTGCAGCTCCTGTTTCTCTGAAAGCCTTTAATTTGAGTTGGATTGTTCCTTGTACGAGGTAGTGATCTGAGCCAACGTCTGCTCCTCTTCTTGCTTTTGTGTCCAGTAGGCTGCGCCGCCACTTCCTCGAGATTGTGATGAAGTCAATTTGGTTTTTGGTTCGCCCATCTGGTGACACCCATGTAGCCTTGTGAATATCCTTGTGTTTGTATACGCTGCCACCAATCACTAGTTCATTGAAGGCGCAGAAGTCGGCGAAGAGTTCTCCATTTTCATTCATCTCTCCCAGAGCTTCTTTACCCATGATGAGTTCCCTTCCTGTGTTGTCTGGTCCCAGTTTGGCGTTCATGTCTCCCATTAGTATTTTGATGTCACCGGCTGGAGTATTGTCTATTGCTGCCTGCAGTTGTCTGTAGAATTCTTCTTTCTTTTCGAGGTCTGCGTTGTTGGTCGGTGCATAGCATTGTATAATTGACACTTTCCTTCCTTTGGAGTTGAATCTGGCGGTTATTATCCTGGGTGAGATCGCCTCCCATTGTATCAGAGCCTTGGTTGCCGTTGGTGACATCATTATAGCCACGCCCTCGGTGTGTGTGTGGTTGTCTTCTGGGTGACCGGAGTAAATCACTGACTCACCTGTTGACAATTTGGTGAGTCCGTATCCGTTCCATCTGCTTTCGCAGATCCCCAATACTTGTAGTCCGTATCTCCTCATTTCGCTTGCGATCTGGGCAGCTTTGCTAGTCTCGTACATGGTGCGGACATTCCATGTCCCCACACAGACTTTTTCTTTTGACGCAAGGAGACTGTTCACGCTGAAGTTTCTGTAGCAGGTTTGTTTACAGGGTGGGGTTGCTGGCCTCACGCCTGAGTTTAGTCTTTGGGTACCTGAAATAGAAGAAAGGTTAGTGTTGCGTGACCGCAGAGCCCAGGGGACATCTGCTTGAGGCCGGTCACACACGGTCTGGTGTGTCTCAGTAGCGTACTTATCACTTCTGCCCTGTGACACGGCAGCAGAAAGCGCGGTCGTTGTTAATCCGGGCCACGGCCGATCCGGCATGATATTTCTTGGATTCGTTTGGTTCATCGGGTTGGATTGTTGACGACTAAGTCCAGCCCCCACTGATACCGTCGCCAATGTATCAGTAGGTTGTGAGGTTTGACAAATTTGGTTGATGCCCGTTGCTACTATCAACGGAGCTACGCTAGGAACGGTGTGGCGACCCAAGTTATCTCCTACTGATACCGTCGCCACCGTCATATCAGTAGAAGTCCGGTTAAGCTGCCGGTCAGCCTCGGCTTCATTTTCAGCTCCCCGTTGTCGATAACATCGTGGATGAAATGAAAGAGCATGTACATCCTAAGAAACTCTAAAATAGAAGAATACATTCTGAAATTAAAGAAGCATAGCTCCGCAACCGTAAGTCCTACAGGGACGAGACAGGTACCAATTGGTTCGTCTCGTCGAGGGTAAAAGCTATCCCTAAGAAGAATACGAGGGTTTTCCTGCCTAGCAGTCTCTGCCCCCCTGCTGCCCTATGGTTGGTAATGCCCCCTAGCTACATACACAACGGCATACAACCTGAGGTCGCGGAGCTAAAAGATGTCAAGAGAACAGCCAGCGGCATGAACTCTAGGCCTAGAAACCAGACCCTATACAGCACACAAATGAAGAAGAAAAAGGGGAGAAAATCCAAGAAGAACTATAATGAGCATGGATGTAGAAGAGGAAGAATAACCACACAGATAAACATGAGGATCTGATCGATCTGAGAGACTATAGGGAACGAATGCATCTGCACCACTGAGAACCAATAGTTTGAAGTCATTGGTTCTTAAAGTCTCGAGGATATCAACCAGGCAGTGTACACCTCACAGTGTGAGTCAAACCAACAATCGAAGACTACTTGTATTGCTGTAAGGTTTTGATTCGACCATTCTTAACTCCTTTCCAATCTAATCAAATGTCAGCTAACACTACTCGACGAGGAGGATGGTGGCTCAGCAAGCATAAAACAGAAATCATAGTTTCGTTAGGCGAATTGCATGATTCAAGAGACGATATAAGCATCGCTGACCATCTAATATATACGGTAATAAAGCTGGTAAAAACAATCACCTAAAATGATTCACAAAAAGAGTACATACCTTTAACATATGACATATATCATGATTTTCCACTGGTACATCGATATGTACATGAGCATTAGACAATGGGGTGGAAGGTAGGGTACAAATATCTTTTGGCATTGAATTAATTAAAGAGTGGAACAATGAAGTAATTCTATTGACATAATCTGAATAAATTTTGAACTCATCCCATTGTAGCATAGCTGATAAGCATAATATCCAATCGGAGCATGGTTTCGATTTGTCTACAAAACAGTAGTCATGCAGAGATAAAGATGAATAACGTTCTAAAAGAGTTTTGGGCTGATGATCGAATTTCTTTAATTGAGATGATAAATGACTCCAGGTAACTGTTTCAACTTCTTCCATCAAATAGGGTAGAATTGGTGCTAACAAAGCCTTCAAACATTCAACTGTCAACCAGAATACTGTTTGTGTATTCCGTCTGAATGGATCATTTGCATTGTTAAAGTATAATCTATGAAACATAAGATATTCGAAAAAAAAGATAATAAGCAACACAGACCCACTTATTATCAGTGTTTAAAATAAAATAACGGGTTAATATTTTAGCATCACCGTTGTTACTGAACTCGCCTATCTCATATATTTGTCAACTCTAGTAAATGGAAGTTAATATTATTATTATTTTATTCCTTTACGTTCCTAGTGGAACACAGGGCTTCGAGCTTCAACTTTGAAGTTTTAACACCAGTGTTGTCATTTCTACAGGATGGGGTTGCTAGCTTCACGCCCAACCTTCCCTTTTTACCAGGCTTAATACCTCAACAGTCACATAGTTAACCCTTTGATAACTTGAATATTTCGGCAGTTAAATAGGAACTGTAGGGGGCGTAACGAGATGCCCGGCGCTCTTCACCGGGTTGACTGTCCATTGGATGACAGTCTAGGGGAGATGGCTAAACCCTGATTCCAAACCTCCAACGACTGGCGTATGAAGCTCACTGGAGCTCACCGGCAGACGTATGGACAAAGGGCTTGTTGGATGTCCTGGATGTCTGGTCCCATTCAAAAAGGCGTATGAACCGAACTCCGGTCACCGGCTGCCAATGGATAGTGGACTCCCTACTCCACTCCTACTGCCTTGTAGGTCACACTTGGTTGTGTAAAGGCTAGAGCTGCACTCTCAAACGAAAGGCCGAGCGATTCTGGGGACATCACTCGTACCAAATTCCCATGAAACTTCATGAACTCTCTTAATTGGATAACCCTGTCGCAAAACGTTGCGTCAGATCGCCGCTCCTGGGCAGCGATGATTCGAGATGTTCATGAAGCCGGCTCATCCTCCCGTAGGAGATAGCCGAAGTAAAGTAAAGTAAGTAAGTAAGCGTAACGAGATTTCGAGATATCAAAAGTCAGACAGAAATATGACACTGGTAGAATGTTAATTAAACATCAGGTTCACAATTGCTTGATACATTGTAACGACAGAAGACAAGGGCCAGGCAGCAGATCGTTTATTAAGAAAATCAAGAGGTATTTATAGATTTTTATGTGCATTATTACTAGCGAAGAAGCAACCTCTTCTGATTGGTTGTTTCCTTGATGAAGGTCATTCTGTTATCTCTTTGTGGCCGTTTCTCAGAAAATCAAGTCATATATCTGTGAATCATGTTTCCACACTTTAACTCCGCTATAGTTGGCTGGTGATTTTCTCAAAGCTAAGCTTTGTCATTGTTTTTCTCATGACCCCGATTTGGGACGAGAACATTGACGTAAATTGTTGCTAACAGCTCTCACCACAAAATGACTTGTATTTATGAAATTAGAGCTTTATAAACTCAAAGTATTCAGTGACTCTTTGTGTGACCATCATTATCCCCGTAATTGATTCGCATCCAACGCCAATATCATGTAAGTAGTTATAATGTTCAGCGATGTGTTTGAATAAGACAGAGGTTTTTTTCCATTTAGTAATGTGATCTTGGAACGTCAGATATGTGTCACAAATATTGCTCAAGAGCTTTATATATCGTTGTGGAACTGGTGAGAAGAGATGCAGAAGTGATCAGCTTTTAACGTGGTATTGTACAACAAAGGTTACTTTCGCTAGGATAACATCTGTTCTACGGATACGACATCCCGATATATAAGAATAGGTCTAGCAACTTGTTGAATAACATCAGGCAGTTGAATGAATCCATGATAACCTCGAAAAAAAGTATCTTTCGTTTTTTTTTTTCAATTACCGACAAAACATCAACACACAAAAAATAAAATAAGGGAAATGCAATACAATGGTCAACACAAATATACTAACCTGTCCTTCACCGATGTAATATATACAGACGACAAGTAAGATACGAATTGATCAATATCAGCTAAAATAGTATTGTATCGAAATTGTGGATAGTAAGTATTTAAGGAGGATGAAACAATATTTGCAAGTGAGTATAGAACAGCTTTGTCCATTGCACCAAGACACTGATAGTTGGAATCGCCATTATTTCGTTTAACATAATTTGTCATCTCTAACACCAATTTTGACAGTGACACGTCGTCTGTGGTATCGAAATCCCCTTTCAAGCCATTGTTTATTTGTGTTACTGGACAAAAGTCATATAGATTACCAAGCATAAAACGTAAACTGTTGCGTAGCTATATATCAAGTGGAAATAGCAGGACAGAAATAGTTAATAATAATAATTTGATTTATTCTAGAAACAGTACTAGTGGTACAGTGTGGAATTTTCAGCACAATATCTACAATATTTGCATCTTATTTTATCCAACGTTTAAAAGGAGTATATCAAAAAAATATAAAGACAACAACAAAAAAAACACAAAAAACACAAAAATAATTTTTTTAAACGCGAAAAAAATACCAAGAAGTAGAGAGGAAAATAAACAGCATATAATAATATCTCAGTATTGGGTAGTGGAAGCTATGATATGATTACGCATGGTGACAGTAAAGCTACAGACATACAAGAAGTTTATGAGATGATATTTAAGAATGTTTATCGCCAAGATGACCAGTTAATTTGGTTGAAACAAACACTAAATAATCATAAAATAACATTTTAGGGTTGTTGTTTTTTTTTTGTTGTCAGGTCTAATGTGGAGTTTGTAGTGGTAGTGTCAGTAATCCTGCATAATACAAAATTTTAAGATGGTGATAATGGCGTTCACAACCAATGATTGTTAGTTAATATTGCCGAACAAAAAAAACAACAACCACAAAACTAATAATTACATGATGGTTAATGACAGGACAATTTTGTAATGCTCATAGTGCTAGTATAGTCGGAACTAGTAGATACACAAAAGAACGAATAGAGTAAAGTAAAAAAAAGTAAGCCAGTGTTAATTATTTAGGTAGCTAAGTATGTTTAAGAAGGAGTTCACCATAGAATACAAAATAAGAGAGAAATAAAAAGAGCCTAAAATTATGTTATTAACAACAAAGCAAGTCATAGGTTTCATGCTTAACATTGTCTCTGTCACTTAGAATATATATATATATATATATATATATATCAGTTATAAGAGATCACAATATACATAAGTCTAGGTATTAATCGACATTAAGGCTAAGGTATAAAACATGGGCATTGTAGGAAAGAGTGTGTGCGTGTGTAACTCCATGTTAGAAATAGTTTAGTCGATATAATAAACATAGATAAAGTATTATTAACTGGATGACTTTTAGAGTACAATATGACCAAACACCTTTCCTAAGGAATGTATTCATCGAATCAAAATTTAATATGTGAACAAGAAATGATCAAGAAAAAAAATTATACTACTGCTAAAATCAAAGAAATAGAAGCCAATTAATTAAATAAATGATGTCAAAAGGCATCATTAAAACTTTGATTTGTGAATACGGATAACAGCTTGTGCTCAAAATGTTAGTCTTTAAATAACTGTGCTTATCATTAGTCCGTCTTGATAGGATGATTATCGAAACCAATCCAACCATCTGTTAGGAAGTCACTTAGCTCTCAGGTGAAGGTACTCAGACATAAATTGATATGTATTTGGTCCATACGAGGATATTCTTCAGCAATAGTGATACTAACACCAATAATAAATCTAATACTTACGAGAAATATAATTGCTACGATAACATTAGGGTTCCGCGGATGGCGTAAAGAACGTCACTAGGTCATCCTAACATATAGGACTAGCAGAGAAATAAAATTTGAACAAATTCATTCCTAAAGGATACCAACAGCCTAGTAACACGTGTCATACTATTCTTGTTAAGCTCCACTTATCTTAAGATCAGACAAGATAACTATTTGACTCAGTGGATAGATGTACATGATGACATCTATCCGAGTAGCGACTATTGTATGATTTATGCTAAGAATAGTTTTAAGAGATCTGTCGTGTTAAAAAATACCTTAGAAAAAGAGGAAAAACTAGTGGCAGAAATAAATTTAAGTCACAAGTGATTTTATGATGGTCACCAAACATTTGACTGCTTTCAGATCTGTGTTAGCGCAATGTATCCTCATTTGGATGCTTTTTAAGAAATAACAATTGATAACAACTTTATCCTGAAAAGTTCGTTTTAAACAGTGTCAAAAGAATTTTCAGCTTGTTTTATTATAGGGTATCTACTCTTTGTGCAAGATCTCTAAGCAATAATACTACTACTACTAATAATCGATAATGCATCGCTTAGAGGAATGTCGTTCTATCCAAAGCAAACTCCATTACTCCACAAAGTTTTTCTCCCATTTCCTTCAAAAAGTTGTAGCAGTAGGCTGAAACATTTTTGAAAATGTGCGTGAGATTGGGTTACGATTCACGAACGCAGTTGGACGGTTAAAACAATATGAAATTTAGTGAGTGACTGGTTTGAACGTAGAACTTTGCACCGATGTGCAGCAGTTCGAGTTGCTACACTCCACGTAGCACACAAAGCAAGGAAAGACAGTAGAAAACTATTCAAAAAGGAGATAATAAACAGAAATATGAGGCAAAAAGAATAGTAATATGGAAGAACAATATAGTTTTATTGGATGCAACTGCGCACCAACCATTGAGAACGATTTTGAGCCACATCACCAATTTTCTCTAGCCGTCATTGGTTTTCACCATCCCGAAGACCCCAAATGCAGCAAATAAGTTATATTGGATAAATGGGAAAAATTTAGTGGTTCAGTGTTCTAAGCAGGCCGCTAGTTGATTTTCACAGGATTTGATTTTAAATATGTTATTTATGTTTTCTTTTGATGGAAAATTTAAGTTAGCCAACAACAACAACAACAGCAACATCCACCGCCAATCACCATCAACGGGAGGGATTTGAACGAGGTTACTTCATTCACTTATCTAGGGAGCATTGTCTCAACTACAGGCAGCTGGAATGGACGAGGATGTCAAATCGAGAATCGGGAAGGCGAGAAACACATTCATCAAACTGAAACCAATCTGGAAATCTTCGTCACTCAACCCAGCCAGCATCAACAACAAAATTCGGATTTTCAATACAAACGTCAAGTCAGTCAGTCACTTCTTCTATACGGATGGATCAGAAACTTGACGGCGGGTCACAAAGAATATTTCCAACAGCCTGTTGCAGATCATTATCAACAGCTGTCTTCGTTCTATACTCAAGATCAGATGGCCGGAAAGAATCACCAACAAGAAACTATGGGAACAAACATAACAAGAACCAATCGCTCAACATATATGCAGGAGAAAGTGGAGATGGATTGGACACTCACTGAGGAGGCCGCTGGGTGACATCGCGCATCAGGCCATAGCTCGAGTGGAACCCAAAAGGGAAGCGGCGAGTGGGACGTCGAAGGGTGACATGGAGGAGATCGTGTGAAGAGGAGTTGAAACAGTATGGACTAACATGGATGCAGGTGAAAAGTACAGCAGAAGACAGAAGCAAGTGGAGGCGTGCAGTTGAAGCCCTATGTTCCACTAGGAACCCAAGGGAACAATAACAATAATAATATAATATACTGATTATTCTTAATCACATACAGACAACCGGATGATTACTTTCGAAGGTATTTGGGAAAAAAGTCAACTTAAGCGCATACATTAAAGATTATGGGGAAAAAGTTGTTTGCTTACAGCTTTATAACCATTGCTACTTTGATTTATTTCTTTGGAACCCAAACGGCAAACAGAATCCAAGCTGGAGGAGCATACCCATCGACGCATTATATCAATGCATCCATTCTGACTAGCGATCAATTCTTCAGGAGTAACACCATTCCCTAAAGATTTTGACATTTTACGACCATCTGAATCTGCAACAAAACCATGTACTACAAGATTTCTAAAATTATAAAAAAAATAAAACAAAAAGTTTGGTGATTATTAACATGGACAAGTTTAAGCGCTTAAGTTTACGTTTTTCCGAAATAATATAATAATATTATTGTACTGCTAAAACTTAAAGTTCATGAATAATCCTCAACCAGACAGACATTAATTAAAACAAAACACGCAGTTTAGCGAAGAGTCTCTTTTCAGAGGCAAATTCATTCACTTAGCAGTACAATCGCAATTATATATACTTATTTTCCTATGTTTGTGTGCATATTAGGTTTGCCCGATGAGAATAAAATTAAGTTAGGGTTATTGTTGTCAAGACATTTCAAAAATGTGATGAGTAATCAAAACTGTAACTAGGGGGAGGTGAAGATTATTAAGAGGGTAGTGGTGATATGTTATCAAAGAACATAGTTATTAACACATAAAAGAAGTTGAATAAGCGTGATACAGTTAAGTAATAAGATGAATAGTTAAATAAGTGAGTTGTGATCAGGATGCACATAGAAACAAAGGAAAATATGGAATTATGTAAGAATTCCGAAAATTCCAAATGTTATCAGGAGTTAGAAAAAACAAACAAGCACACAAACATCAAGTCAGTAGAAGTCAACACAGTTGTCACCACTATAGTAGAAGTAGTTGGGTGATTTCCTTTCGTATGCATAACTCTGGTTTCTCCAACTGAATGACTAAGTCTTGAGCAATACAAAGGAGACGAAAGCATGTTGTCTTTGGTAGGTTGTTCTTCACTATGTAGATCACTTTGATGGAGGTGCTTGTTGAGATGGAATGACCAGTGTTGACGAGATGTTCGATTACAACACTCCTTATACAGCTTCTATTACCTTTTTGCAGACATGCGGGATAGTGTTCCTGAAGTCTTAATTAAAGCAATCGAATCTTATTACAATTTATGATTAAAGTGTCCAAGAGTATTTTGGACTTTACACAAAAGTGTTGTTAAAGTTACCATGACTCTAAAAACCAGGTGCAGAAGAAAGATGTTAAGAGAACAAACAAGAGAAATACTGACGGTTAGGGTAAAAAAAGAGAAAAATAGTGACATTTGAAATCAATATTTTTCCCCAGTAGAAATGAACAGTATAAGATGCTCAGAAATGTGCATGACATGTTCTGGATAACTGTCAATAAGAACTCATAATCCCATAAATCGATCTAACACTTTTATCTACTAATATAATAATAATAGCTTAATTCTGAACGTTCATATTATGTACAGAATTTTCAGCGGAGTTTATTACGTGATATCTTCTCTTCATCCGGGATCTTCAAATAAAAGATTAATTGACTGACAGTAGACCGCATGCCACAGTTCTATCTGACCTGAAGCACTCAAACCAATCCATTATGATATCTCTTCTTTTTCTCCTTCGAGAAATACACGACGACAGTTTATTGAATGCCAATTACAAAAGGTTCAGGAGCACATTTTGTGAACCAAGGACACCACTCAGGAACGGTCATCTCATGTATTAGGATAAGCTGCCATTGAAGTTAACGCCTTTTCACATGTTTAGTAGACAATTGTGAATCAGCAGGTAATAAGTGTTTTAAATACTCGTCAGAGTAAACAATACTATTAGAGGTCATATTTTACTAGCTTTAAAGAAACTGAATTAGAGAAAATATATGCAATATATTGATGGAGGTTTTTCGGTAGCCCAAGTTTTAAGCAGGCCACCTTTATGAAAAACTCTGAATGTAAACTTCAATACAGTACAGATGGTGATACAACTACACAAGAGGAATAATCCAAGATTCATCCCTCATTAAAAAAAGTTTATAACACCTTTAATGACCATGTAACAAAGTTGCCTAAGAGGATAGGATACATTGAAGTGAATAGTAGGCAAAAAGAAAGAAGAATGTACAAAAGAAACATTTCATAGTCTGATTTATCTTACTTGAATGGTGAACTTCCAGTAAGTGCAACACTGAGTAAAAGAGAAGCTGAAAACCAACCACGAAATTGATCATGACCTTCTAAATAAGTATCTGCAATGACATTTGACTGAGATAGACGTGAGTAATTATTGCCTATAATGAAATAAAACCAGAAAGAATGAACATACACCTAGTTAACATTCTATTAAAACAAAATCTGAGTGTTAAAAACGAAATTTTTATAAAATTTACAGAATGTTACGTATAAACACATACATTATTGGATTTTCATCATGAGCTGAGATTAGTTAGAGAACCATTGGAAAACCTGGGAGTACTGGACATCTGTTTCGTCCTAGTTCGGGACTCTTCATCAGTACGCACCCACCGAGATTCGAACCCAGGACCTTCTGGTTACAAGGCGAGCTCGTATACCATTAAGCCATTGGGACCCGATCCAATGGCCAGCCCATGAATTCTAACTGCTGCCAATTCACGACATAGCGCGAGCCCTAGCCAATGTCTTCGGTGAGTATTTGTCCTCACACCCGACCTGCTGCACCCTACTGGTCACGACTTCTCACTAGAACCCCAGGTAACTACCTACCTGTATGGGGCAAGTCGCTAGTGAGCATCTCATTGATATTCAAGTGTTGGTTTGTAGGGATTCGATTGGTTACAGGATTTTCATCATGAGCTGACATTAGTTAGAGAAGCATTGGAAAACCTGGGAGTACTGGACAGATGTTTCGTCCTAGTTTGAGACTCTTCATCAGTACGCACCCACTGTTACGTACAAACACACATATTATTGAAATATAAATCACGCCAAAACAGCCGAATGAATATAACTAAGGACAATTTAGTGATTAACACATGTTCCAAGGCACTAGAATATCTGATAATGACGATGATCATTATCAAACTATTTTTGACATACGTCCCAGTTTCGCTACTGCTTTTCTCTCCCTTTCTAAACCATATTATAACATGACTGTTCTTTTAAGACTGATGAGCTGAATGGAATTACCAACATAGGATACTGGACAAAAGGACGTTACATTAAGTTGACATAACCTCGCCTAGATCACTAGTTTTCTAGCCGGTCCCAAGCCCGGATAAAGAGGGAGGATTGGGGCGTGGTGCTAGCAACTCCACCCCCAAAACTTAACCAAATTGCTACAGAAACTTCAACGCACAAACATATTAAAAATTCTAAAAATACAAACAATAACCTTATTTTTCACTGGAATCGGGGAAGTGAAATGACGCAGGCTGGTGAAAGCCTTCGGGAAGCCAGTCAGCCGATGTGCCTCCTTTCGATGAAAGCAAAAATAAGGATGGGGACGTGGAATATTCGTACAATGTACGAAACTGGAAAGGCTGCTCAGGTAGCCGCAGATATGAGGAGATATAAAATAGAAGTGTTGGGAATCTGCGAGAGCAAATGCAACGGATGTGGAAGAAGCCAACTACCAACTGAAGAGACAATAATCTACTCCGGTCACTCAGAGGACAATCACAAGCACGCCGAGGGAGTGGCCATCATGATGCCACCAACAGCAACCAAAGCTCTCATGCAGTGGGAACCAATCTCCTCCAGGATAATGACAGCTAGATTCAACTCAAAAGGAAGGAAGGTTACAATCATTCAATGCTATGCGCAAAGAAGACAACGTCCCAAATGACGATATGAGAAATCTGATGGGTGATATGAATGCGAAACTGGAAGGAGACAACACAGGAAGAGAACTTACCATGGGTTGTGAGGCCCTCGGTGAAATGAACGACAATGGTGAACTCTTCTCAGACTTCTGCACCTTCAATGATTTGGTGATTGGTAGCAGTGTGTTCAAACACAAGGATATACACAAGGCGACATGGATTTTGTCAGAGGGACACACCGAAAACCATATAGACTTCATTTCAATCTCAAGGAAGTGGAGATGGAGCCTACTGGACACAAGATCGAGGAGAGGAGCAGATGTGGGTTCAGACCACTATCTAGTACAAGGGACTTTCAAGGTGAAGCTAAAAGCCTCGAGGATACCTGGGGATAGGCCACAATGCAAGTTCAACACTCAAAAACTGAAGGACACGATCACACAGGACATTTTCACTGCAACTGTCAGAGCAAAGCAGGAAACACTTTGTGGCATCACTGAGGAATCATCCGTGGAAGACCATTGGAACTCTCTGAAGGTGATTTTCAACGAAACGTGTTCAACGGTTTTAGGAAGAAAGAAGAAATAAGACAAGGAATGGTTCTCAACGGACACTTAGAAGCCCTATGTTCCACTAGGAACCCAAGGGAACAATAACAAATAATAATAATTAAGTTGACATACTTTGAAAAGAAACATACATATGAAGGTAGAGAAAGCAAATACAACTAGAAAGGTGAAAATATAAAGGGAACAGAATAGCTACAGATGAAGATGAAGACGAGAAGTGAATGCATCTACATCACTGCAAAAGATTTCGAGCCATATCAAAAATAATCTTCCAAGGCTGATTTTTAGCATTTCGAGGACGTCAAGCAGTCTACACCAGTCAATATGACTCAAACCAACGGTCTGAAACTTCATAAATTGATGGTATGTTTTTCTCCCTAACTCTTCTTAAGCTCAAGACTATATCAGCTAACATGCCTCGTCTGTAGGATGAAGAGCACTTAGTATCAAATCGGTCAATAATCTCAATTAGAAAAAAACACACTCATAGCATGAGCCGAGTAGTCGGGACAGTAGTACTTTCAAGTAAATGCATGCACTAGGGTAGATCAAACTGAACTTCAAATATTCACATTTTTACAAATCTCACACGTTACAGCACAAATAACTAGTTGTTATTCGAACGAAGCCTTATTAGCCTTTTGACAACCTCGTAGTTAATGGAGATCAGTTTGGATAATTCTGATTAGGATAACTGATCAATAATGGTTAGGCGATACAACCAATCAGTTAACGGATTCATTTTTTTTAAAGATTATAAATTTTACTTTTTTTCTAAAAATGTAAATGTATAGCAGGAAGAGAATTTAAGGGATGATTAATTATTACCAACTGAAAGAACCTTCCTTCACTTACCGTTTAAAACGCATAACCAGGAAAGACCACTGTCAAACCAAACATCAAAAACTTCTGTACTTTTATACACATCACTGCTTGTAAGCGACCACTGGAATAAAAAAATAAACGAAGAAACAAATGAATTTTATGAAAGCAAAATAAGATGATATATGTGTAAAACTTGGGCACTGTGGTAGTAAGTAATTCCATAAACAAACTGATATGAAAAATAAGATGATATTCAACACATCGGCTTTCTACTGTATGACAATCAAAACCAAACACTCTCCCTCGAAAAAAGCTTACACAGTGTTTTATTCACGGAATGAATTAAACACTTATCCTAGGACCGTTGAACAATGAATACATTAAACACTGATAAATTATTTAATTCAATTTTAGATTTTCCCGTCGATTAATTGATTGGACCGGTGTGTTCAGTCTCAGGTTGACATGTCAGCTCTTTGTGCAGATGCTTCAACAATGTCTGGTCATCTAACTTGAAGTCAAATGGTGGATGGCGACTAGCAGTGAAATACAGGATGCGCATTTCATCCTATTAAAGACTTTCGTGGCACAAGTCGTCTAGTGGATAACACTTTGGCGTTTGAAACTATGGGCACTGGGTTCGAGCCTCGGCCGGAACATCATCACTCACTAGGTAGTGCAGGTACATCCAGATGACGAGTACCAAATAGGACGAAATGTGCATCCTGGATTCTACTGCTAGTCACCACCCACCAATTGACTGATACATTAGTCAGCTACTATATCTTGGTGTTTAGTCCTTTTGATAAGATGCTTATGCTTCCCCTTCAGTGAATATAGAAATTTTAAAAAGGAATTATAACGAGGAGTATGCATGTTCATAAATGTCTTGATATAACAAATATCACCATTTAATTTTTAAAATTGAAACTGGAAGTTTATTTTAGCATCTTGTACATGCCTCCTCACATTAAACAACCTCAGAGATAGAATACACTAACGACAAAAATAGGCTGGAGAAAAAGAAAGCATAGGATAGTATTCAAGCTTGATCCAGTGAAAAAGAGCTTGACTTTGGTGCTCTATCATTGAATGGAATGAGAAATTTCTATAAGTCTCCAGAGAAATCACATGTTAGTGTTTGAAATGTTACAGAATATGACCCAAATAAAAACGGATGGAGAACTTAATATTGGATTCCATTGTGTCTTTATGAAGTGGCTGTATTACAATGAATAAATAGTAAAATTACCAAAATATTTTACAGTTGTTCCAACAGTGGTTCAATATTCATTAACAAGGAGAGATTATTTGCTAATATAAACATGAAAATGAGGACACTCGACCCTTGTAACTCAACTAAAAACGGCATAGTAACAGAAATAATAGAGAAGATTTGTAGCTCAGGTGGATGATTTGCAATTAATAGTGTTCTCTGAGCTGGTTGGTTACCGGGAGATGCAATTATATCACTCATAAAGAAATTCAAATCATTTCACTTTATGCTAAATATTGCGCTGAAGATGTTTTTCAGAAGGACGACGAAAGCTCCGCAACCAAACCAACCAGCTCAGAGAAGACTATTAATTGCAAATAGTAACAGAAAGTTCGGTACTATGGTGAAATATTTATCCTATTTCATCTGAGCCACAGTGATTATTTAGCTGAATTCAGTTCTTGAATTTTAAGAAATAGATGATTTCCTACTGACGAAAAATGTGGGCGGAAGACAGAAACATACATGTATTGACAATGAATTTGTGCAATAAACTTAAGTTACTTATAAGTAGTATGGTCTATCTGAATATAAGATATTATAATTGAAACAAACCGAAATGAATATCATTTTACATGTAACTGATAATAGAATAAATAATTACAGATGATATTTATTCCATAATACAACGAAAATATAATTTTTCGAGTTTGCCCACGGACTGATATCATTTGAAGAACCATTGAAAACTAGAGAGTCCTGGACAGCTGTTTCATCCTAGTTTGGGAATCATCGGCAGTACGCACCTAACACAGAGGTTCGAACCCAGGACCTTCCGTCTAAAGGGCAAGCTCGTATAACATTCATCCACTGGGACCCGATTCAATGGCCAGTCCATGAATTCTAACTTCTACCAATTAGTGATTTAGCGCGACCACCAACCAATGTCATCGGTGGGAAATCCATCTTCACTCCCGACTGGATGGACCTCACTGGTCACGACTTCTCACTAGAACTCCAGGAAACTTCGTCCTGTAGCATATCACTAAGGAGCATTAGATCAATTTTCAAGAGTTGATTTGTAAGGATTAGATTTGTTTTTCGAGTTTGACAACGTATTGATATCAAATTTAATCCTTACAAATCAACTCTTGAAAATATAATTCTCTGATTAACATTAGTCGTTCATTTATAAATGAAAATAACATTTTACTTATTGTTTACTATGCATAACCGATAGCTGCTACCTTGACGTGGTGGTCGCCGGGCTTGCATATCGCAATTACCCAACAAGATACACTGGCTGGAACTATTGTTCCTGCAGGACCTACCACGCCAGGAAGGTTGTTAGGATAGCGATTAGACTAAAAGCAGTTACCGGCTTGGTGTAAGGCTTTTTTATACTATGCTGGGGGTCTGTGGGCGAAGTCGTACTGCTGGGGAATAGGGATGTAACAGCAGTGAGGTGTTTCTCTCACATGACCAGACAGCTATGCTGTCTCTCCACTCTGGAGAGAGGGGTTTATAAAAGGTCAACCCCAACAACTGCACATCCCAACTTACTCTACGGTGGTCCGTAGCAGGCGGCAAGTTTACTAATACGGAACCAAAGCAAGAAACCAGTTCATACAGGCCATATGTGACCGGCCTCAAGCAGTTGTCCCCTGGGCTCTGCGGTCACGCAACACTAACACTCTTTCTGTTTCAGGTACTCTAAGAATCAATAAACTTCCACGGTGTGGGCAGCCGGGAAGTAACAACCGCCCACACACTTCCAAGAGCACACGAAGCCTCCCCGAGCATCATTATCATTCTCACTCTAATTTCAACCTATGACTATTTCATTTTTCAACCTTATCACTTTAGACTGCTTACTCACCGAAATATTTAAAATTACGTAGAATTAACATTCTTAGTTGTCATAAAGAGTTACTAGATTGATTACAAGGTGTTCATATCCTTACTACTGTGGATATATCAGTTGATAAGCGTAATCATGAAAAAGTTCTACTTCGTTTAGTCACTGGAGAGTAACCAATGTGTCTAATCCCCTTGATGTTGGTGCAGATTGAATTCTGTCAGTGAAGTTTTGGCAATGTCGTGGTCAGTATACCGTACACACTGAATTCATGTTAAATGACTGAAGGCAATCGGTAAAAATCTCTGGACCGAGGTTTCGTGCTAGTTGTCACTCACAGGTCAGCAAGGAGTATATGCGACCTTGAAAGAACTCGTGTTCCTCCACCCCCTCTCTGAGATTCGAACCCGCGTCGACCAGTGCTGCAGTCAGAGACGTTATCAATGAGCTATTCAGGTTTGTGATTGACCTCCTGTAGGACTGTGATGGATACTTTGACTGGATACTAGTTAGTAACTAGTATGATGTGTCTAGTCCTTTGTTTGGTGTAGGCGGTCAATCTCGAACTCGAATAGCTCAGTGGTAATGTCTCAGACTGCAGCACTGGGTAGCACAGGTTCAAATCTCAGAGGGGCATAAGTTGCTTCAAGATTCTAGATATGTCTTGCTGAATGGTGAGTGAAAAACAAGCACGACACATAGGTTCATAGCTTCCTGCCGACTGCTTCCAATCACCTGACATCAGAATTCCTTCCCTTGAATAAATGCAGTATTTCGTCAGATGAGCTGATATCAGTTAGAAACCCGAAGAACAGTGGTATTCATATTACGTTGTCATTCAGTGTCTGGGTCGAGATGCAATGACCTATATATTATAATTCCTGGCGATTCGCAGTAAAACGCCACTTCCAGACAACATCGTTGTCTGGCATCTGCTTTAAAATCGAACTTAATCTAATGTTCTAGGCTCGATAATAATGCGTAGACTAAGTGGTGCTCGAGAGGCACAAACACGAGAGAACCAGACAGGCTTTACAGCAAGAAGAGGGTGTATCCCTGAATGGGATATAGACACAGGTCCTCCGTCCCTAACTGAGGTTACTAAGGCTGCCACTCATCTAAAACGTGGCAAAGCAGCAGGACCTGATGGAATGAATCCAGAGGTATTCAAGGACGGTGGAGACAGTTTGCTGTCTGCGTTAACTAAGGCACTAGGCAGCGTCTGGGAAGCACAGATGGTCACGTCGGGTTGGTGTAAGCCATTGATTATCCCCATATACAAAAAGGAGAGACAAGTCCTCCTGTGATAATCACAGAGGCACTAGCTTGACTAATATAGTATCTAAAATCCTAGGCTCAATAATACTGCGTAGACTAAGTGGTGCTCGGGAGACACAAACACGAGAAAACCAGGCAGGTTTTAGGCCAGGTACAGGGTGCATTGATCATATCTTCACCCTTCGACAGATTCTAGAACAAAGGCATTCCTACCGGCGTCCAACAATCATTATATTTCTTGACCTAAAGGCGGCGTTCGATTCTGTCGACCGGGAGGTTCTCTGGCGATGCTTGGCTGTAAAGGGAATGCCGAGAAAATACATTGCACTGATTAAGGCACTCTACTCGTACTCATGCAGCCAGGTGAGGGCTTATGGCGAGTTGTCATCTGAAGTGGTGACGACTAGTGGCGTCCGTCAAGGATGCCCATTATCCCCATTCCTATTCAACTTCATCATAGACGTACTAATGGACTTATCCCTAACACACTTCAGCGACTCAGGGATTGACTTCATACCAGGGAATAATCTCGTTGACTTAGAATATTTTTTTTTTTTTTTTTTGATTTACAGCTTGATTTCCACACCGTATTTTCAGTACAAGTGTGGAACTTTCAGCATGGATATCGGTTGCCCAAATTCAGGCATACCATAGATATCGGGTGTGCGCCGGCAGGGGTTCGAACCCCGGACCATGTGCATGGTCGGCGAGAGTCCTAACCACTGTGCCACCGACGCACACAGATGATATAGTCCTTCTAGGTGAAGACACTGACAGAATAGAGCAGAGTCTTCTGAATACCTTGAGCTGCAACCTACGAATGTTTGGCATAAGATTTGCTCCCGCCAAATGTAAGATGATGTTGCAGGACTGGATGACACTGACTCCTAGTTTAGAAATAGGGAGTAAAGCGGTAGAGCAAGTTGACCGCTTCACTTATTTGTGAATTTGCATTAACGGGTTGATCCCTGACAAAATCTCAGCAGGGATACAGAGGGCTTGCTTCGCATATACCAGTTTACACCGTCTCTGGCGTAGACGTGATATCCGGCTGGCTATCGACCAAACGGCAGGTGTACTGCTCAGCAGTCTACTCCTTCCTCCTTTATGGCTGTGAGACCTGGCCATTGAGAGCGGAAGACATGAAAAGACTAGTTGTATATGATGATAGGTGCCTGCGTTCTATCTCCCGCGTGAAATAGTATAATAGGGTGAGCAGTATTGAGGTTAGGCGTCGAGTGCTTGGTAAGGAGGGAAAATCAATCGACGAGGCTGTGAAGCTACATCGACTGAGATGATTAGGATATGTGTTACGCATGCCTAGCCATCACCTTCCTCGAGGATGGGCAATGTTAGCTGACAGAGTCAGGCTGGAAAAGAGCCAGCGGTGATCAAACCAAAACATGACACGAGTCAATGAAATCCACAACAGTTAGTTTAAGCCACGTAGGAAAGTGTAGATGCAGATGCATCCACTCCTTGTGACCTATAACTTCTAATGAAACTATATTGTTCTTGGTTATTACTATTCCTTTTGTCTCATATCCCTGTCTACTGTCTCTATTTTGGATTTCTTCTACTTGCTTCTCTTGCTTGGTGTGCTACATGAAGTGTGGCGACTTGACCTGCTGCACATCGGTGTAAAGTTCTATATCGAAAACAGACAGACAGACGGACATTCGAAGAATTATTAATCAATGCTTAGGGATTCGCTAAAATGGCAAAAATGTCAAATAAAATGATATTTTAGAATGATAGATGTAGCTCAAACTATCAGCTAGTAAATGTACATTTCTCCACACTAAAGCTGAGTTACACACTACTATCGAAATATTCTTCGTATATTTCTGAAATTGTGATACTGTGAAAAAAAAACAGAGAAAGTCTCATTACGACATAGCTAAACAGGCTTAAAGGGAAAGTTGAACTCACCTTCCTCCAAAAGTGTTCAGGGATAAGCTTATCCAATGTTTCTGAAAACCAAAAGTCACAACCTTCAGAGGCTACACGGGAAGCAATATGTTCTATTAGATCACTAGAAATACAAAGATCAAATAAAGAATGGACATAAAGTAGGAAGCTGAACTATATTGCGAAATTTAGAGTTGAGGGGAATGTTGACTATGCCACAGCACTGATATAGTTAGAATTAGGTCTCTACTTGCAGAAGTGTCATTATAAATGTCAAGAAAAATTACTATATTACTAATTAGTAACATAGTGCGTCGGTGGTACAGCGGTAGAATGCTTGCCAATCACGCATGTGGTTCGGGGTTCGATCCCCAACGGGCGCACTCCTTTACCTCGCTAAGTCAGTAATAAGACTGGTAAAGAGGGAAGGTTGGACATAAGGCGAGCAACCCAATCCCATAAAAACAAACACCACTGCTACCGAAACTTTAAAGCTCTAGTTTCAAGCCCTATGTTCCACTGGGAACGTAAGGGAATACAAAAATAAAAAACATAAAATAACTATAAGCTAATCCACATTAAACTCTAACTAAATTCACGTGTAATGTAATTATTAGTAATTCACTCATTTAGCAGTGGTAACAACATCAGACGTGTCAGTGATTCAGAGATAGAGTGTTAGTTAACCACCCAAGTGGCCATAGATTGAATTCCCGGCTGATGCACTCCCAAACATTGACTAGCCGGTAGTAGGCACGCTAAAAATTGAAGGCTAGGCACGAGGCTAGCAACCCAACCCCGTTAAAAAACAGCAACACCACCACTGCTACTGACACTTCAAACCTTACGTCCCACTCAGAACACAAGGGAAGAAAAGAACACCATGTTACTCGAATGATTAGTTAGTAAGTTATATACATGTGAACTTTAAATGGCGATGTAATTTATTGGCTTAGGCACTCGACTCTCAGCTATTGGGTTCCAGGTTCCAATTCAACTCCTCTTATTGGGTAATACCATCAGCTCTTATACGATAAGTGCGACTCATAGCCTAGAACACAAAAGACCTATTCTGAACTCTATAAATGTTACCTTTTTATACACATAATTTAACACACTATTAGAGGTTGTTTAATATACCTAAATTCTACTAAATGATATATAATTTATATTAAATAACAGGTTAGAATACAAAATACAGTTTAACACATACTGATCAACGATAGGCGATTTATCATCAACTTTGAAAAGTACAGGTATAGGAACACCCCAAGCTCTCTGTCGTGATATACACCAACTTGGTCGTTTAGATATAAACTGCAACATGGAGTGTTTATGAGAAGCTGGTAAAACATTGACTTTTTCATACTCTTCCTAAATAAAAAAAAATAAGAAAATCTGTGCAAGTATGAACAAATCGCACATAAACGATTAAGGTAATAATAGGTAATTACCATAAAAAAGAAATAAATGCAAAAAGGTGTTTGTTTTATAAAGGGAATATTCCCATCTTCTTCATTCCTTTGCATTCCAAGTGGAACATAGACTTTGAAGTTCCAGGAGAGCCAGTGTTTTTTATGGAGTAGCCTAACACCCAACCTCCCCCTCTTTACTGGACTTACTACCGGCTAGGTGAGGTTTAGGAGTGCGTCAGCCGGGAATCGAACCAAGAACACTTGGGTGGTTGGCGAGCATTCTAGTATTGAACCACCGACTCGCACTGGATATTATAAGAGAAATTAATTTAAGAAATGAATATCTAAAAATTCAAGTTAACGATCAAAACGTCCACTAAACAAGATTTCTTTTATTCCTTTGCCTTTACAGTGGGACATAGGGCTTCAAACTAGAGCTTTGAACTTTCGGCAGCAGTGGCATTTGTTTTTACACGATAGCGTTGCTAGCCTCATACCCAACCTTCTCTCTTTACCAGTCTTATTACTGGCTAAGCGAGGTAAAGCAGTGCGTCAGCCGGGGATTTAACCCCGGACCACCTACGTGGTTGGCGAACATTCTACTGCTGTGAAATCGACACAAGATAATAAAGGTCAATCTTACAAATTGTATAAGATAATAGCAGTAGTAAAAACCTTAATTTTACAGTGAAAGTTTTGGTGACTGAGAAAGGTTGATTGCTAGTACTTACACTGCTACAATACCTATGTAAGTGACAGGCAAAAACAACTAAACCATAAGAAATAAAATCCCGGAAATACTCTACCTAGTTTAAACTCAACTAGTCTACAATTGACATTATTATATCAGACAGCTAAATCATAAGAAATGTTTAGATTTAAAATTACTTTACATTAACCACTCAAACACAATCAGAGAACACAATGAACAACATCCTGGTATTGATCATCATTTGAGGAAAAATACGAGTGTATTAGTGACAGTGTGACAGATTTTAAATTCAGTTACTTAAAGTACACAAATTCAAATCAACAATTAACGATACAATAAAAGAACTTCAATGAGTGTAATAGTCACACTCAAAGAGAAGGATTCTTACTCATTGGGTAATCAATAGCAACTGATACTTCACTTAGTCTTTTGAGGCTAATTCAGATGTTGAACGCTATTTAACCAAAAATGATATCGATAAGTCACTCCACTATATCTTTATTTCTCATAGCTATTAAACCTGTTCTTCCATAAAATCTATTCTGAAAACTGTTTTATAAGTCGGAAGTATCCTTATAAAATGAAAAACTCGGGTATCTGAAAATACGACATGCCATGACTTTTATTATTAATACGTTTACACGTTTAACTGCTTCTGGTGAAATCTCCTACCAATATCGTTCAAGCTAGAAGTGAGAGGGTGAATGGTAGTTACAAACATGCATACATACATATGTATGTACATACATACATACATACATATAGTCATCGCCTTCCTCGACGGGCAATGTTAGCTAAAATAGGGTCAGGCTGGAAAAGAGCTAGCGGCGGTCAAACAGAAACATGGCACCAGTCAATGAAATCCACAACAGTTAGTCTAAGCCACGTAGGACGGGACGGTAAAAACCAATGGTTGGAAACAATTGGTGACATGGCTCAAAATCGTTCTCAATGGCTTGTGCAGATGCATCCGCTCCTTGTGACTTAATAATAATAATAATAATTTGCTTTATTCCAAAACAGTAGATGTGATACAGAATGGAATTCTCAGCATTTTTACTACAGTATTGCATCCAGTTAGTACATTATCAATAAATAGAATTCTACATAGAATAAGGAAACCACAGTTCATTATTACAACAATACATTGGCATGTCGGTAGCAAAGGTAAAGCTGAAAAAGGGTTTGAAGGTGTTAGAAAAGTAGGTGCAGTCATATTTACTGGCGTAAGCGGAAGAAAGAAACAAAACAGCACATAACGGAAAAAAAGAGAGAGAAAAGGAAAAGAAAGAAAGAAAATGTTGTACCTATAAATGATATGAGTTGGAAAGACGAGGTCCAGTTGTTCTACTGACTATTTAATGAATTATAGGTGTCACGCCTAGTGCTTTCTTTATCGTACAGAACACGAGCTAAGTAGGGTATGGTTTAGTTTTTGTACTTGCTAGTGCGAGAATATATTTTTCTATATTGGCTTCTGGTTTTATCTGATGAGATGCAAGGAGAGAGCTGTGAGTGAAGAGGAAGGTGTGAGTTAGATAAAATGGACTTGGCCCATTTCTCACAGGAGTCCATGTGCCTGTCAACCAGAATATTAACAAGCTGGTTAAGTGGCACGTTGCTTACCCTGCTGACAACCTTTAACATCCTGCGTAATGTGTTATAGTCTTTCTTCAGTAGCCCGGGAAAAACTAAGGGGGAACAATAGAGAATAATAGGCAGGATGCGAAAATTAACGAATTGTAGGAGTAAGGGTTGGACAATACCAGAATGTTTTAACTTTTTAATGTAGAAGGTAAGACCGAATATTTTCTTAGAAATTGCTAAGGTATAAGACGACCAGGAGAGATCAGCAGATAGAATGACACCAAGGTATTTAATTTCCGATTTGGTTTCTATTTCAGTGCCGTCTATGTTGCATACCTCGTGAGAGCCAACCAGTTTGTTTAGGTCGGATTTATGCCTAAAGGTGAAATTGACTGTTTGGCATTTGGAGGGGTTTAGGGTAAGACCATTTTTCTTGGACCACTGGCTGATTTCTGACAGAAAGCCATTAAGTTTAGAGCAGTCGCTTTGACATTTGACAGGCAAAGACTTATGATTTCCAATTAAAATGTTTTGTTCTTCGTTATTACTATATACCTTTCTCTCACACCTCTGTTTACTCTCTATATTATGCATTTCTCCTACTTTCTTCTCTTGCTTTGTGCTACATGGAGTGTGGCGACTTGAACTGCCGCACATATGTGCAAAGTTCTATGTCGAAAACCGACCGCCCGACCGATACATACATATATAGTTGTCATATATTCTCTAGAATTCTCAAAGAAAAGTTGTAAATTTTATGTGTAACTGAGTGACTGCAGGCAGAATAACTTTTATAGGTAAAAGATAAAAACCAGAGATATTAAAAAGTGTTTAGTTCTACGTCTGACAATACTGTCTGTCTGTTTTCGACAAAGAACTTTGCACATATGTGCGGCAGTTCAAGTCGCCACACTCCCTCTTTGTAGCACACAAAGCAAGAGAAGAAAGTAGGAGAAATGCATAATATAGAGAGTAAACAGAGGTGTGAGACAAAGGAGTAGTAATAACGAAGAACAAAACATTTTCATCGGAAATCACAAGTCACAAGGAGTGGATGCATCTGCGCCACTGAGAACGATTTTGAGCCATGTCACCAATTGTTTCCAACCATTGGTTTTTACCGTCCCGAGGACCCCAACCAGGAAGTCTACATCTCCCTACGTGACTTAGACTAACTGTTGTGGATTTCATTGACTGGTGCCATGTTTTGGTTTGACCACCGCTAGCTCTTTTCCAGACTGGCCCTATATCAGCTAACACTGCCCGTCGAGGAAGGCGATGACTAGGCATACGTAACACATGTCCCAACCATCTCAGTCGATGTAATTTCACAGTCTCATCGATTGATTTCCCCGCCTTACCTAGCACTCGACCCACGCCTAACCTCAATATTGCTCACCTTATTATACCACTTCACGCGGGAGATGGAACGCAGACACCTATGATCGAAGACAGCTAATCTTTTCATGTCTTCCATCCTCAATGGTCTCACAGCCATAAAGGATGACGGAGCGGACTGTTGAGCAGTACACACGCCCTTTGGTCGATAGTCGGATATCGCGTCTACGCCAGAGACGGCGTTAACTGGCATATGCGAACCTAGCCCTCTGTGTTCGTGCTGAGATTTCGTCTGAGATCAACCCGTTGGGACTGATGGTACTTCCTAAGTAATTGAAGCGGTCAACGTGCTCTACCACTTCACTTCCTATTTGTAATCTAGGGGTCGGTGAAGTCCAATCCTGCAGCATCATCTTACATTTTACAGGGTCTAACAATACTACTGAGTTATACACGACACGAGAGCCTACCATTCGCAGGTTTGGAATCATCGTTTTGAAAATTTCAAGATATTTATTAACGTGATAAAATTATTGACGATTTCAAGCTAAAACAAAAGTAAAAGTTCGATTGTGTGAGGAGAAGACACTCACCATGGCAAGCGATGAAATCTTTTCTGTATCCACAAACCACTGATCTGAAAGTCGGATGATAACTGGTTTCTTTGTACGCCAATCGTAGGGATAACTATGTGTTATCACTTCTTTGTGTATTGTAATTGGTTCAAGCAATTTAATAGCTAAATGCAATGAAATATAAGCAAAGTAGTGAAAAAATGATTATCTTCGCCATTTACCGAAAGAAAATCTCATCGCCAAGTGTAATTACTTGTAAATATAAATTTACCCTAAATGAAAAGTACAGGTTCATGCAGCAAATTATACACCTAACTTAGTAAGATTTAGTTGTTTAGGCACATTGACTGAGAATTGAATACTTAAATATCTCAAACATACAGATAACTATCAAAAGTTAAGGGATAGCCTAAAGTACAAATTATGACAAAACACTTATTCTCAAGGGAATTAAGTAATTTGCATTCATTAAACGTCAGGAATGTTCAACACGAGAACTCGAAGTATCAGAAGTCATCCAACAAGATGCTGTGCACATGATAAATTTCATGATTCTGTAGATTATTAAGTGATCTACCATTTACGACGACAAAAATGAGGTCCACAGTTCAGTGTAAACATGGTCATCCATAAAACTGTGAGCATGTTACTTAGAAAGAATCAAGTTAGAACAGAGTGCAAATAATGAGTTAGCCAGTAAAGATTAACATCAAAACTACTATAGCAGAAGTGAGAATGAAAATTACAAAAACTAAGTAACCTGTAGATAGAAGCATACCTGAAGTATTTCCCTTGCCTAGCACTGGTAAACCAGCCAGTTCGAAACCAATATCCTCAGTGAAACAACCCGATTCATCGACAAACAATTTCTAGGGGGACAAAGAATAAAGAAAAACTTTGAAAGGTCTTCACCACAAACACACAACCATGATGTAACGATGCTACCTGTACAACAAGCAGTATTATTTATTAGTTTATACGTATCTGTCTAATCAACCTTTATATTACTGGTTTGGCCACCACTTCCCATTTAAGAACTTTAACTCTGACAGACCGGATTGAATCACCAGTCTTCACAAAATAAGTGCGGGCCGTGGACTGACACATGAAAATTCTATTTCAGCTAACTGAGTTTTGAGTATTGTGGTTTTCTGATCAAAATATATCCCTACCGTATATCGTGTAGACTTTTGACTTCTTTGTTTAAATACACGAGAAGCAATGTATAGATGATATATATATTTCAAACTCTTTTCTCATAATGAAATTCAGGTGATGTCAATGATAGATGAAGTTCCGACATAGACGAAGGGTTTCCAGGTCTTTCTATGAATTAATTTAGTAGTGAGATAGGTGAAGTATAAGAATGCCATACAAAGACCAAGTGTACAGGAGAAAATAAGGCGGGACATATTGGCTAAAAGTTCAATGCAAGTCACATCTCCAGTGGTGCAGATTCTTTCATAAAGCACTTCATCTTGGTGACATCTTGACTTGATTTACCTTTACAAACTTGGATTACATCACCTTCAGTTTTTATCTGTCGTTCTATTTTCTTCTGTTGTATGTGTAGATGTGATGAGCAGCAGTGTGATGCACTACGGTGTATTGCTATGAACTACTTTAGAAAATATTTGTCTGCCTGATGTACATGGTTGATGAATTGAATTTCTCTCACCAGTGGAAGTTTCTAACATACTGTTCTTATAAAAACTATCATCTAAATTTTGCGGGACTATTGGGCCAGAGCGTGATCAAAGTTCATACATATAATTTTCCTTCCTCATACAAAGGCGATAATAACGAATTTCATCTGAAATATTATCCAGTTATTGAAAACTTTTATTCGTATAACACGCATAATAAACAAACATGGAACTGTTCGAGATTAACTCTCATAATGACTAAGCCTGGAGTTGTCGTTTCCTTTATGAAGACAACAGTGTTTACCATGATAAACATACCAATGATAGATTATGTCTCTTGGCCAGGTCGAAATCATCTTTACCATGACAAGGTGCTATATGCACAAGACCAGTACCCATAGATTCGGAGACATGAGAACTAGGCAAAAATGGGGCTTCACAAGAAGGACGAGTAGGATGACGATAGAAGCAACCATTAAGATCATCACCTGAAAGAAAAAGAATGAAATATATAACTGAATTACCTGAAATTTCGTCAATCTGATGTAGTTTTTCCCCACTTAGTAAAGATTTTAAGCGATTGGAAAAACTCTTGCTGACTAAATATAAATCCCCTGAAGATTGACTTCGAAGTAAGACATATCTGTCAAAAAGAATGAGGAAAGAAAAGTGATAACATAAATAAGAAAGGAGTACTGAATATATAAAGAAGTAAAAAACAAAATAACTGAACAACACTGAAGAAAGCTGGCATTCACATAGTGGTTACTTTTCACAACTACAAAAAGGACTGAGAATATCATTAAGCAAATCACCTGTCATACCTGGTTAGAGATTAACAAATGTCATACACACGTGCAATATCTGCGCCGAAACTCCATCAAAAAAATTTTTAATGGAGTTGACCAGCTAGGCAGTTAGTGTTAAGACAGTATGTTTAGAAAATTAACATCCATAGTCTGGATATTTCTGACTAACCTATAACAGTTTGGTTTCACGTGACGTCGAATAGCAACGCAAAATGCAAACTTCTCGAACACAACGACTTTTAACTAAAAGTACTACATGTGAAAAATGATTACAATCAAGGCGAATCAACGTTGTTGTTCAGAGATATATGGGGTTGGCACGTCCGAAGGTGATAGGATGAAGTGTGTCGGCCGACGAAACTCAGTAACAACATTATGTTCCGTACAGTAACACAGGGGCAATACTTGTTTAGGAGGATTAATATTACATGGTTTCCCAAACTTTGTAGGCAAAGGGTTGTTTAAATTCAGTCCACCGAGCATATATACCTAAAATCTTTCACTTAGAAGACCACTAACAACCACTCCCTCGTTTCATCTGAAAATTAGTGCACCGGAATTATTTACAAGATGTAGGAGTCTTTACCACTTCAATACAAAATTTCTTTCTAATATATTGCGTCACATTACATTAAGGGGTAGATGTGAATACAAGCAAAAGAGTGCTGAAAGTGGAAATATATTGTGATAAGAATAATCCGGTCACTCAATTTCGATGTTCATCCATAGTTTTAGAGAACTATCAGTAAAACAATATTGTTAGTCTCCTGCTGTAAAAAACTGACATGGCCGGTGCAGAAATTTGATTTTAACAACCTGTAGTCGAAACGAGAACAAAATTTATGTCCAGTCGAGATCTACATTCGTCCTCTAAAGTAATCAAAAGCAACGTCAGTAAGATGATCTGTCAAACAAGCAGAGTGGTGTCAAGAAAATACACCAGTGTGTTAGGACGTAAGTAATTGACTATAAATAAATATATCCAGGCGGAAGTCTGGAAGAAACTCGGTGGTTAAACAGTATATTATCTTGAGCACAAATGATTTACCACCGTTTCTCCAAAAGCACCTATACGACTGTTTATTCCAGTAGTACATGGTGCAACTTGATAGTTGTTATAGGAATGAGTACACTACTGAGTCATAGCTGTGCATCAAACAAAGTACATCACATCAAAAAAGAATCAAATATTCCCCCATAAAATCAGAGAAAATGAGATGCTAAGGAAATGGATTCACATGTTATTAACTTACGTAGCATTTAAATCGTATGCTACTGCCTCGTTGGAAAATACAGTCCATGCATTGGTTGTCCAAACTATGCCGTATACATTGGAGTACTCTCGAAAGTTTGAAATTTAATCAAAATGAAATGTACTTACTACCAGTATTCTTCTCCACACGGTTACTGTACCTTGTTAAATTGACTTTGAAGTAAATAGAGGAACTTTTGTGTTCAGGATTGTATTCTAGCTCGGATTCAGCTATTGCACACCTTAGCAGTATGTATTAAGAAGTAATGAATAATTACTTCGTATCTGTTGACCAATAAACAGGTAAAGAGCTGCGGAAAATGAAACCCTTTTAGAAAAAGTTAGAACTAAAATAAATCAATGCCTTTGAATGTAAATCTGAAAACGCTTGCAGTTCAACTGCTTGAAAACACTTGTCCATAGTACGATAGCATCCAGCCCAGGACCCTATAACACCCCATTCTTGAAACGAATTCTTCTGTATTCCAACGAATTTCTGGGCTAATTGTGAAGCTAAAAGCAGAAATATGACATATAGTAACAATACCTGCTCTTCGAATTTCATTTGGTAAATGCAAGTTTGAATTCTCAATGGCTTTTAATTCAATTGGTAAGCCATGACAATCCCAACCTGGAATGAACTCGACCGTGTAACCATTCAGGAGGTTGAGACGCAAAGAGACATCTTTCAAGACTTTGTTTAGTGCATGTCCAGCATGAAGTTCGCCGTTGGCATAAGGTGGACCATCATGAAGAATATACTTGTGAGGGCGAGTGTTATTCAGTTGGTGATCATAGAAAGTATTCCATTTGGACTACACAAACATTATCTTAGGAGAAAACCTACATTAATAATATTCACATCACTAAGCTTGGGATACGCAGTAAAGGGAAATCGTGGATTATTTGTTGTTGAAGTATACACTCCATAACGCCGAACGAAAAACTTTATAAAACATGAGGACAGAAATATTTCGCGCATAAGCTTCCGATGTTTTAATTCTGTGAAACAATCAGAAAGAATAAAACAATAAGAACTTTTATACGCCCAAACGATAATTTCCAAACGACCATAACAAAACAATGATAGTGAAATCAGTATCCGTAAGCACGTAAATATATGCAAGCACATGTTGCATGTATTCCTTAACAGTGAATTTGCTCGGCGATTTTTCAGTTCACACAGGTAAAATAAATTAAAGTTTGAGATTCACTATGCTTAAGACACGGGTAAATTGTCTTCAAAGTAGTGCACTAGTAATGCAGCGATGGATACAAGATAGTTCCCTCGCATGAGCTAACAGCATACATTTCATGGCTGGCTGGGGTGGCTACTACGGAATATCAAGATACCGTCTACAGCAACACTTAGATTTGTGAAAAGGAACACAAGACTCTAAACGCTGTGTACCGTGGTTCTGTAGTGAGTCACCTCTTTAACAAAAGATTAAGTTGAGAATCCATTATATATTTACACACTGGTGTGCAATTTTTTGACCTCAGAAACTTTTTACTCAGGCTTGTTACCTGTGACAATGACAGAATTATACAACAGTTATAAGAATGAATTTTCAGTCACGATGGCTTAATAGGTCTTTGAATATCAAAGCGACTAACAGTATCATGATATGAGTCAGTTGACTACCTGCACGCTTATTTTTAGAAATCTTCCCATTTTCTTGGAATGATAACTAATGTCTACATTTGAGTCAATATGAATCCCAAGCTTACTATAATGCTGAATTAAATCTCACTAATTCTGAAAGAATAATTCTAGCATTCTATAGTGAGTAAATTCTGAATCTGTTCTGAAGTGCATTCTTTAATGGCACAGACTAGAACTCAGTGCTAGTTTTCAGCATGACTAGCACTAATTCAGCACCGTGTTCTTTTCTAGGCATTTTCTGGAGTAGATCAGAACCTACTGGGTTTGCTTATAAGAGTTGTTCCAGCCCTCACAGGACATATTAAGCACGACCAGCGTTATTTCAGAACATAGTGGGTAGATAAAATATTCATTTATCAAAAAAAAGGCATTATCGAAGAATAGGTTAGAATAAGTTTAGAATTGTTGTCAGCTTGGGATGATACACCTGGAGTAGTAGGAATAGGTGTCTAATAGTAGGTGACTTGAATGCCTCACATATTAATTGGGAGGAATTAAGATCAATTACTTCGTACAATTGTTTCAACAGGGAACCCATACTGACAGTACTTGAATGCGCGCTTGTGCAGCATATAGATGCACCAACACGATACCATCCACTCTACACTTGGTGCTAACACACCAGAAGGAGGATGTTGGTGACATAAGGTGCCTGGCGCCGCTAGGCAGTAGTGACCATATAGTTATCACTTTTATGTTTAGGATCCACGCTGTCATACACAGGTCAACAGCTGCTCGTCCAAATGTTTGGAAAGCGAATATACCTGCAATCCGAAATGCAGCAACCCTAGCTGACTGGTCTGTTAATACACACCAGACTGTTGATGAGGCTTGGATGGGATTTAGGAATACACCAAATTGCGTCACTGCACCCTTTGTACCTTGGTCTACGCCCCGAGAACTATCTCATAAACCACCTTGGATTAGTGATGAAATAAGGTTATTATGAAATCGAAAGAACTAATGGGACCGGTGTACTGTGACTGGGAGGGATGAGTTTCGGATGGAATACCGCAAAATTCGAAACCTTTGTAAGTATAAGATTGACAAAAGTCGGATAGAGTATAAGAGACAATTAGTACTGGATTGTGTGCACTATCCAAAAACTACTCGTATATCAAAAGCAGGACTAAAACTAGCAGTGGCATACTGTCCCTCATTAGCAACACTGGAGAGGCTGCCGAGTCAGACGAAACAAAAGCTGAGAAGCTTTCCAAATACTTTTGTGGTGTTTTCTCGCCTAATCGTACCACTCAGGGGTGTAGCGAGGTCACTGATGTAGCCACCAAAGTGCCCACAATTGTGATAGAGGATGCAGTGGTTCTCAAACTACTGTCTAAGCTGAAGCCAAGTAAATCACTTGGACCTGATGGACTTCACCCTAGACTGTTACTCTCCCTGGCGGATATAATATACATTCCACTTATGGAGATTTTTCAGATGTCTCTGACCCAGGCTAGGTTGCCCAGAGACTGGAAAGATGCTTTTATAAGCCCCATCTTCAAAGATGGGAACAGACAGTTAGTATCTAACTACCGGCCTGTAAGTCTAACCTGCATTATAGCAAAGGTGTTAGAAAAACTCATAATAGACCAGCTCTTAGCTCATAGGGAAAAACACGGCTTACTGGCAGTGGAACAGAATGGATTCCGACCAGGACGATCCTGCCTGACAAACTTACTGTTACCTAGGGAAGATTGGGTCGGTGCAAGGGATAAAACCATCTACTGGACGTTGTCTTCATCAATCTTAGAAAACATTCGATAAGGTATCACATTTAGGTCTTCTTAGTAAACTTAAACGTTTTGGATTAGACTAACGCTTGTGTGAGTGGTTTAGTGACTACATGATGGATAGGAGACAGAAGGTAAGGGTTAATGGTGTACTGTCAGGGTTAAAAGCACTACTAAGTGGAGTACTTGGCCCCCTGCTATTCCTATTATGCTCAAATGAAGTGCCGATAATTCCTACCTCATCTTCCTTACTATGTGCGGACGATATTAAGATATGGAAAACTGTAAATAGTAACGATGACAGGTTGGTACTACAAAACGATCTAGATAAATTGGCCGAATGGGCTAACCTTTGGAGTCTGGAAACTAATTCCAAGAAAAGAGCGGCAATGCACCTAGGTCAGAAGTCTTACACGTCGTACTCCATTGGGGAAACAGAACTGCAGATGTTGGAGTACAAAAGGACTTGGGAATTATTGTAAGCCATGACTTAAAAACAACGGTAAACTGTAATCGAGCCACAGCTAAGGCTTTTCGAGTGCTATAGGCACTTCGAAGGGCTTTCAAACGATTAGACGAGGGTACATTCCAAGTACCCTATGCAACAAATGTCAGACCTCATCTAGAGTACTGCATACAAGCGGTGAGTCCGTGCTTCAATGAGGCACATATCCTGGAAAGAGTAAAGAGGGTAGGAACGAAATTAGTTAGTGGTATCTCACACCTTCCTTATGGTATGAGGATGGAGTATTTAAATATCTTCCCGTTATCATACCGAAGGGGGATAGGCGGCTTAATTTTGGCTTACCATATATTCAAGGGTGATTTAGGGATTGACCTCTTAAACTTTTTCTTTCCCTCTAGGATATATTTACGAGGTCACCACAAGAAGGTGCTCAAACCGAAGTCAAATAAAATACGTGTGGAATTTATATTCTCGAAAATCTGTGAGATTTCACGGACTGTTCAACAACTGGAACTCTTTACTTCATTCAGTAGCAACAGTTCCATAGGTGAACGCTTTTAAAGAGATATATATAGCGAGGATTAACATAGGCAACAAGAGCCTTCTATCCTTATAATCTGAATCTGGACACTGTAGTTGATTGCAATTCCACGTTGGGTTGATTATCATACCAATTAAGTTAAACAATAAGCAGACGAAACTGTCTGAATTTCACATATGCGGCAACCGGATTACGAAGAAATTAGCTTCAGCCATATAAAACGTATGAGTGTTTGCATATCTAATTGGTGATAAGTTTGAAATTTCATGTCCTAAATATGTCCCCAGAAGCATGATTTCATACACTTAATGTGTAGTTATACGAAACAACAGTGTAGTTTACAGCATGCATTCATGCATGCTGCAAATATTAATATGGAAAACGTGAAAGTGTTAGAAAAATTCAAGTGTCATAAATATGAAGACTTGTGAAAGTTATCGCGAAACAATTTCTTGAAAAAAAAGTACATTGCCACAATGTATATAAACTCCGGTTACAAAATTCTCTAGGTACCAAGGCTGCTTATTGGAAAAGTGTTAGCAAAGTAGCGTCTTTTACATAATAACGCATTTTAGTTTAATCGATTAAAACAAAGATGAATTTAAAACTAATAAGATACTTTTTCAATAATTTATTATCAATTTTGTTAATGGAAATATATTATTTTGGGTACCAACAAATTTATCATGTCTGCGCTGTTCTAGGACGATATGTGTCAACTGCTGTCGGTTTTCTGCTCTGAACACTTGTTAGTAATAATCAACCCATAAAGGTAATTGCCCATGCTATTCAACAAATTTTCCATGTGTTTGGAATTATAAGTTTTCCAAATGATGTTATGTATTATCTTGCTATTTTGGGAAATCTACCTCGGAACATAAGTTGATACGTCGTTTTTAGCTATATATTATCTGATGTTTAGAAGGTGAGAAGACTTTCGGAGTTATACAGCATGGGTAGCTGAAATTGAATGTGCTTTTAGTCTTCATGTTTATACTGTTGGTAACTAGACGTCTAGAAGCTGGATTAATTGAGTCAAGAACACGAAGAAGCAGTTAATCAATGTTATCTTTATCAGCATACAGTTGTTTCACTTTTGAAAATGATTTGACTCTTAGAGTCCCAAGTGTTCTGTTTTGAAGAATCTGATCACCACTTATTTCGCAAGTGTTTTGACTGGATAAATTGCAAAGAACTGATGGAAATTTTTAATGTATAAAATAGTGTTCTAGATTGTGTTTAGAAATTTTTAGTTATCACAATTGTAGTATTTAATGAGTTCCAATTGCTGGTCTCTTCACACTTGTACAATCATTGTTATCTACCTAAGGTTGTCTATTACTTAATTTTCGTCCAGTGTACCAGTTTTTTGGAACTCAGTTACTGTTAACGTGTTTCTTGTGTTCCGTCCTATATGTCACAACGTGAGGTTTTGATTATATTACAGGTTACCTAGGCTGATGTATAGGACTTGGACTGGAGTCCGGTGTCCAGTCAGCTGGAAGTCAAAAGCTTAAGCCATAGTACCCTGTTTCAGTGCAAATTATGTTTAAGATATAATATTACGTTTTCTGTTGTAATGCAAAGAGATTTTTTACATGTTTAGATCTCTTGGAGGATAAAACACCACTGACCTGAAGCTAAATCTCTGGGTCAGTTACACTATTAGATCACAATGTATTATGGTCCTCGTACGATTCTCCATATGAATCGACACTCAAATAAGCCACAGATTGCAAGACAAATGCAGTAGCCTATAAAGTAACTGCATTATGCAAAATTCTCTGGATACAGAACTCTATCTTCTAAAGTAGTTGCGTAAGATAGCATCCACGTTCTGTTTAGGTTACTAAGTTGTCCTTGCCTAATGCGTGCATCTATTCTGCCTCTTGACTCGATATTTTATTTTTTTTTATTTTTTGATTTACAGCTTGATTCCACACCGTACTTTTCAGTACAAGTATGGAATTTTCAGCATGGATATCGGTAGCCCAAATTCAGGCCGACCATAGATATCGGGTGTGCGCCGGCAGGGGATCGAACCCCGGACCATGTGCATGGTCGGCGAGAGTCCTAACCACTGTGCCACCGACGCACATATTCCATATTCCGTCGGCTCAGCCGTTGAGCGGCTTTGTTAAAATTAGTTTCCCATGAAGTCTATCTTGATTTTCCTATAAATCAATAGCTATATTGATAGATTCGTGATTTCGAGGATTTTCGGAGGTAAAAAATGAAATCTCGACTAAGACCTTGTTAAACTCACTGGCCACATGATGTTTCTGCTTCCGGCTTGTAGATAGTTTTCTATTGCTAGATGGCAGTCAACTTTGTCGATATAATCTGTAGTAATTGTACACATTTTTAAAATTGAGCAGTGATAGACAAAACATTGTGCGTCTCCATGAAGTCTAGATCTTATGAGTCACTTAAGAAAGTGCAGACTGCCTTCCTGGAGTTATCAAGATGCTTAAGGCTGAAAGCTGGTATTAACACTGTTCAAAATCATTCTCAGTGGTGCATATGTACACACCTGATGTTGCTGGTTCATTGAGTCTTAACTGGTTGTTCCCTCCGCCACACGTTTCCGTTTATTGTAATTTCACCTCATTTCTCTCTACTTCTGGTATGTTTGTATAAATTGTGGCGATTTAGACTGCTGCACTTTTGTGCAAAGATGTGTTGAAAAATTTAGTGTTGATTCCCTGAAACTCATCTCGTGTTCCTTTTCTAGACCGTTCAGAGCTGTTTCACAGAGTATATCATTTACGTATGTTTTAACTGGTCTCCGATTTCCCTTAGATTTTGCTATTCTCGAGCTTATGCAAATCTAGGTCGTATCATGTACTTATTTTCAGATGTGACAAAAACATGCACTGTTCGGTAGTAGGCAGTGGGTATAACTTTAAGTGTACTAGTCAACTATTATGTGAAAGCGTTTACTCTCCAGAGGGTTTTACATTTTTCAAGTTGTGCGCAAAATTGAAGGTATGTAAAATATACTGAAAATCTGGCACAAATACTTGATCACACCTGTAGTGCTTCATTTTCCGTTGGTGTGTGTCTAGTTCTCAAATTATCAATGGTTTGTGTTCCAGAAAAAGGTCTGTACAGTATCATACTGTTGTAACCTAAACTGACTTTTCTCTGTAGAAGTTTGCATGAAAATGCAGCAGTTCAAGTTGCTATACAATATCATGTTCTGTTTTTTTCCCCTTCACGTTCCCATTGGAACATAGGGCTTCAAGCTAGTGGCTTGAAGTATCTGTAGCAGTGTTTATTTTACAGGATGTGGTTGCCAGTCTCATGCCCAACCTTTCCTCTTTACCATCATTATTTCTTGCTTAGCGAAGTAAAGGAGTGCGTCGGCCGAAGGTCGAACCCCGGACCATGTGCATGGTCGGCGAGCGTCCTAACCGCTACACCACCGACGCAAATCATGTTCTTTAGTGAGAAATAATCCACTCCGTACAAAATTTAGTCCAAAGCTTATATGAAAACTTAATGAGGCTTCTCTGGTAAGGAATGAAAATACATCATTTATCACCATTTATTACTCACCTTATCATAGTTTCCCCTTACTGTATTTGCTAGTATTCTTGGAAAGTGTCTAGATATCATTTTTCTGTTGCCATTCTCTAAACTGTGCTCAAGTGCGACTTAGTTGACCAGCAGTTATGCCGTGATTCGTGGTTTGAACTTCCTCGTTGACTGTTACTCAGACTGGTGGTTAGTTGGGTTACTATTCTTGCTCATCTGATAAATGCATTGTCTTCTAAAATGATACTTCAGTCTATTGTATAGCATTTGTGTATCGATACTGTAAACAGTCAGAAATAAAACTTTATCGTGGTGTAGTGATCTCATTAGCCGACTGTCTTGAGGTTCATGACTTTGGGCAGTTGACTTTCAGCCAGTGAGTTCCAGATTCATATCCTACTCCAAACTTCGTGAGTGGATTCTGTAACCAGTCTTTATACAGTAAGTGTGTTTTACAATCTAGTACTTGGTCTCACGTTAGTTTTAAGATCCTATTATTGGTATTGTTTCTGTTGTCAATAAATGCAAACATTAATGTACACGGATTGTTTTCGTGCTAACTACAGGTTGTTGCAATCAAGTCTTTGTATAAAGTCAGTAAACATTTGGAGTAAAAGACTAGGGAGTTATGCCTAACTGGTCTGGGTTCTTGACTTCCAACCAGTGGGCCCCGGGTTCGAACCCTGCTCTATCTCAGCCTGAGCAGCCATTTAGTAGGTGTGGCCCATTACCTACTGCACGGAATTTCAAGTGGTTGTTCAGTAACAATTGAATTGATGGTTTCACTGATTATCTTCCAGTCATGAGTGAACAATAAAATTGAGTAGATCCCGTAGAAGCTGACAGTCAACTGCCATGGAATACTTAATGTCACACTACAACTTTTTCCTAATGACAATGTCCTTTTCTCTGTAGTGATTTGGATGTAATTAAAAAACCATTAAGCCACTTTACATTAAATCCATATAGACTCTAACTGGTGATGTGTATACAAGTGTAGCTTTTCTTGTTTAGATCATCGCATCGTAAACTACCAATAATTGAAAACTGTTAACAACCTCGTCCGAAAGTTTTACGATGTCGATCTATTTCATCTTTATAACTATTGGGTGTCTCATCTCATTTCTTATCTATTCACACAAGTTTATTGATGTGGTGTGTGATAATCATAGGTGAAAAGGAAAGCTGAGCTACAACAAGATTCGAATAGTGGCGTTTGAATTGCTAGTCCGGTGCTCTACCAACTGAGCTAAGTAACCTAATCGTCAACTGAAACCACCATGGCTAATAACCAGCTGTCATGTAGATAAATGATAAGTAGCTACCCGTTTATCGTCACACTAGCCACCCCGCTAGGTTATTTGCCAATCGAAGTCATACTGAGTTAAAAGAAGAGCATGCTGTCAATCCATGGTGAGACAATCTGAAATAGCTATGGGTCGCTAGACTGTAATTTATGTAATGGGTGATGATTGTAAGCGAAACAAAAATCCTGCTCGCTTGAGGATTCGAACCAGTAGCATGAAAAGTGTGAGTGGTATACTTATGTGCTAGCAGCTATTTTTGTGTCTTATCATTTCTGGGATTAGGCGTTACTTGGAGCATTGTTACTCACGTTGCTGTGTACGATTTTCGCAAATTGTTGTAATAGGCTTGTACTTTAGATGCATTCATTATTTGGAATTCATTTGTTTTTCTGAAACAACACATCCCACTTCTGATCTTTTTCACTATTTTAAGCAACTAAAAATTTAGACATCACAGCATAATGGAACACAACAGATACTTGTATTACATTCGTTTAGATGTGGCTAATCATCTTTACCTACTTCACGGACAACTGGGTAATATTATCAGTCCTAACATAATAAGTCTGGCTCATTACCCAGTGCATGAAAAATCCGTCCCGCATAACTATTTTTTTTAACTCTAATCCATTTACTATGTAACGTTATAATCTAAATTCAAAGGTTTTAAAGTGAGATAGAATTTGAAAAGAAGCAATATCATGTATGACAGAATTAACGATGCATCTCCTTAATTATGCTCTGCTTTGCTCTATCAATCAAGTTTAGTTCTTAAACTGCATGATTTGCTTCTGTCCACTCGGCTCACTATTGGTTACTTCGCATATAGTTGTCATCCTGTGTCAAGATAGGCACAGCTTGTCAAAATATTACATTTTGGTTACGTTTCACAACACCTGCTGGATTTTCTTTGTCGGAAATGTTATATGGAACTTCTGTTGCACTCAGTTATCCTACTTCGGTCTTTTCTATTAATGAATACTGTTGATGGAGTGTGCCAACTTGAACTGTTGCACCTATGGGCAAAGTTTTACGTTGAAAACTCAGTCAGTTGCTTTTCTCTTTACTTTTCAAAGATGCGTCGAATTACTCGATTCGGTTTTATTTTCTCCCAGCCAATATGCCTAGCACCTGTGACTACTTCCTGTCGTTGATAACACGAACTTTTTCTCAACATCCCGTTAAAACTTGGCATAATGTCATTTCGAATCATCTATCGATAAGTTTTGGTATGGTTAACTGATGACGACTTTTCTGGTCACTTTGAAACAAATAATCAGTTTACTAATTATAAGAATTCCTAAAACTATAACTACCCCTATCACTGCTTTGCTATCTCGAACTTATACTACAGAAATAATTATACAGCAATATTTAACTTACCAGTGTAAGGATAATGATGGCCAATTGGTTATTTGGGGATACAGTGTAATGACTGCTCAAAAAATATGAATTAGCCCATTGACTCTATTCAAGATCACCAGGTGATTAATAATCAAAACAAAATTGAATTAATTGTATTATGTGAAATAAAAATGGTATTTATGTACAGATGAAAATCAAAAGAGTCGCTAGGTAGTTCTGAACAATTAATTTAGGCTAAAAGTACAAATTATTGAGCGGCTGTATTTAAATAGTAAACATTAAGTTTTCTTCCAGTCTACCATTGAAAAAATTTGAAAATAGTGAGACTAATCTGTTAATTTATATAACGGTCGTTCGGTCGGTTTTCGACATAGAACTTTGCACATATGTGCGGCAGTTCAAGTCGCCACACTCCATGTAACACACAAAGCAAGAGAAGGAAGTAGGAGAAATTCATAATATAGACAGTAACAGAGGTGTGAGACAAAGGTATAGTAATAACGGAGAACAAAACAGTTTGATTGGAAATCATAAGTCACAAGGAGTGGATGCATCTGCGCTAGCCACTGAGAACGATTTTGAGCCATGTCACCAATTGTTTCCAACCATTGGTTTTTACCATCCCGAGGACCCCAACCAGGAAGTCTACATCTTCCTACGTGGCTTAGACTAACTGTTGTGGATTTCATTGACTGGTGCCATGTTTTCGTTTGACCGCCGCTAGCTCTTTTCCAGCCTGGCCCTATATCAGCTAACATTGCCCATTGTCGAGGAAAGCGATGACTAGGCATACGTAGCACATGTCCTAACCACCTCAGTCGATGTAATTTCACAGCCTCGATTTTATATAACAATGCCTTGATACTGAAGACACTTGTGTTAATCTATTCTAATGGTCCCCTAAATCCGCATCTCTTATGTATCACTGAAAAAAATTATTCGATCGATCGGAAAGATATCACTTAAATGTCTGTGTTGATTTATTCACATTAAAAAACTCTTGGTCGTCCAAGGGTGACTTGGAGGAGGTCATGTGAAGAGGAGATGAAAGCGTGTGGGCAGACTTGGAGCCAAGTGAAAACTCTAGCAGAGAACCGAACGCAATGGAGACGCACGGCTGAAGCCCTATGTTCCTCTAGGAATTAAAGGAAACAATAATATTAATAATAATAATAGTAATAAACGCTTGCACTGACAGAGTTAAAGTTGTGTATTAGTGTTCATCTTTCAAATCAGCATGTCTGTGTTGTGGACTGATGCAGGTGTCCAGCCGATGAGTAATAATATCATGTTAATATTTTACTCTATTTTATGTATAATAAATGTAGTACATATTTCCTTAACAGATTCATTCTGGCGTTGGATCGATGGCCACTGCTGCCCTGGCCCCAGTGGCTGCACGTCCACCCTCCAGGTCAGACCAGCAGCACAATGGAAATATCCAAGAACCTAGTCGACCTTTGCGTTGGAGAGTAATTGACGATCAACCACATGTTGGAAAATATAAGTTTATACGAACTATTGGCAAAGGGAATTTCGCTAAGGTCAAATTAGCCAGTCATGTTATAACCGGGCAGCAAGTTGCTATCAAAATTATTGATAAAACTCAGTTAAGCCCTTCAAGTCGCCAAAAGGTAATCTCTCTTGTAGTCTCTTCTATTAAATTAGCTTTTCCGAGAAGTTAGATTGATGAAATTATTGGATCATCCAAACATTGTGAAGCTTTTTGAAATCATAGATAATGATAAAATTCTATATTTGGTGATGGAGTACGCAAGCGGTGGTAAGTATGTGTGTATAAAAGTGGTGCTTTTGCTATTTTACGATGTGTTCTTACCGCAAAACCAAACTTAACAAATGCATTTTTCACTTGTTGTCACTCTCTTAACTCAAATTGTTCTGTAAAAAAACAGAAAATAGTTGCTCATCCCATCGGCTACTCGGAATAGGTTTTCGCTTGATTATATCACACTTTGTTGTTAAAAATGTATTTTCATATATTAACAGTTGGAGACAACAACTCAGTCCATGCTTTCTTACTTTCGTGTTTGCACCAAATTTAAATCCTCCTAGTATATGTCATCATTCTCATTATGTAACAAACCAGTTATCAACCATCTTTACGTTAATTGTAGCTATTTACCTCGTTAGTGTGTATCACTAAGTACGTATACGCTAAGTAGCCGAAAACTAGGTATTAACTAGTTGCCTTCATACATCAATATATTTTTGTCAAAATTACTGGTATCCAATAGGTAGATGTATTTCTGGTTTTATTGTCGACAATATTTACTGACCACAACGTGGTTACTTTTGTTATTTATCTACTTTTTATCTCGTGCAATAGAATGTCGTACGACTTTTTAGGAGTGTGCACATTGTAAACTGCTGTCATTTCACAAATATATTCATCCGTCTTGTGGTCCTGATTCGATTCCTGACTGACGTATTCCTAAACCTGTCCTACCTTACTAGTCAATAGTAAGCCCAGTAAAAAAAGGAAGACTGAGTGTAAGGCTAGTGACCCTATACCGTAAAAAAGGCAACTCTGTTAAAACTTCAAAGCTTGAAGCTCTGTGTTCCACTCGGAATGCAACAAGGGAGAGAAAAAGAAGTCTTGTTTCCTGTGAAAGCACAAAACACTTGCATAAATGTCTGCGAAAATCCCTAAAGGGAAATACCAGTCATCTTAACTTGTCTCAATTAGCAACATTTCAAAAACATTTACCTTTCGTAAATTTTGAAAAAAAACTCAATAGTAACCTAATGCTATTTTTTCATCTCTGAATCACTAGATGCAGCATTTACTAAGCATTTTTGTAATGTTATTTCTGCATATTCTAATTAGTGACTTTCTCCATTGTTCAATATAGGCGAAGTCTTTGACTACCTAGTTGCACATGGTCGAATGAAAGAAAAAGAAGCACGTGCTAAATTCCGTCAAATTGTTTCTGCTGTACAATACTGTCATCAAAAGCATATTATTCATCGGGATTTAAAGGCTGAAAATCTTCTCCTTGACGCTGATATGAATATAAAATTGGCGGATTTTGGTTTCTCAAATGAATTCAGTCCAGGTACAAAACTAGATACTTTCTGTGGGAGCCCTCCTTATGCAGCACCTGAATTATTCCAAGTACGTCTGTTGTATGCTGTATTTTCGTTATTTTAAAATGATTAATATAGTTGTTTGTATGTACATGAATGACTTTTTACTCCTTGCATTTTTTAAAATTACTTTTTAGGGTAAAAAATATGATGGTCCTGAAGTTGATGTCTGGTCACTGGGGGTTATTTTATACACATTAGTCAGTGGGTCCCTCCCATTTGATGGTCAAACACTTAGAGAATTACGTGAACGTGTTTTACGCGGCAAGTACCGTATTCCTTTCTACATGTCAACGGATTGTGAAAGTTTGTTAAAGAAAATGTTAGTCCTTAATCCGAGTAAAAGATATACCCTAGAGGTTAGTTGTTAACATTTTTTATTTCATCTTAGTTGATGACTCAATTTATTTTTGATAATGCCATAAATTAACCCATAATTGATAAAGCTTTTCGGAAGTACTGAATTCACTCATTCTGTTTACTATTAAAACAGATGGTGATGAAAGATCGTTGGATGAATACTGGCTATGAAGACAATGTATTGTCACCGTATGTCGAACCCGAACCAGATTACACCGACCCAGTACGTATCGAAATTATGGTCAATATGGGCTTCAGTCGTGATGAAATAGAGAAGTCTTTAACTCAAGGCAATTTCGATGATATTATGGCCACATATCTCCTGCTTGACAGAAGACGTTCTTCACTAGATACAAGTTCACGTGATGGTTCAAGTCTTTCTTTAAGGTAATATAACTGTAGTTCTTTCGTTTTCCCATGTGTATGAACCTTAGAACTATACAGTCCTCTTCACTTGTTTGAATGATTTGAGAATTTCAAAACGTTATCCGCAGGACGAATTTTAGATCAGTCAGCTGATGTATTTATTTTATGTCTTCTGAAAATCTATGAGTTACTTGCTAGTTACTTTCGCATAATAAGAGGAATAATAAACCAAATTATGACTAACTTTATGTTGTAACCAGTAGTTGGAGCTTAAATAGTATCTGATCTTTAGGTTGTAGAGTGAAAATTGTTGAGAATGGACTTGTGACACTAAGTGAATAAATACCATAGTTCGGTCATTTAATATGTTCACTTCTGATACTACGCCTACCAGAACATGTCTTTGACATAATAAATTACACTTACCGTGAGCTTTGAGCACACCATTGTTTGTTTTCGCATGTTTCTTAAGTGATACCCCTTGATAAAAGCTATCTTCAGGTGGTGATAGTATTTTAGATAATTTCCGTTCCACAATATAAGCAGTTATTTATATATTCGGCAAGAGTAAACAATGTTTAGTGTGTTTAGCATTATTTCTGAAGCACTATAGCGGATATTCAAATAACTTGATCATCAATTATGTCATTACTTCTTCTTTTTGCATGATAAAAGATTTACAGTCAATTTTATTTTCACTTTTAGGCAAAGTAATCATTTGCTTTCTGCTACACCAACTCCTGCAACTGTCCCAGTAATGACTTCTGGTAGTGCTAGTTGCGCAAGCGCTAATGCAGCAAGTGTAGAACATACGTCGAATATCTGTTCGGATGATACTCCGTCCGTCCCAGTCGCAAATACAAATGCTTTATCTATGACTCAAAATGCACATTCAAGCTCGAAATTCGCTGTTACTTCTGGAGGAGGAACTCGTTCTACAAGTACAACGCCTCCCAGTACAGTAACCGTGGTGAATAATGGCACTAATAACAAACCAGCTGTCAATATAATCACACCATGTAATTATACTTTTATTTTCATTTTGTTTAGATGGCATATTCCTATTTTTAAATCTTTCTACCAGAATGTAACTTGCTATCTATATTTTTAGGCTGAAATATTTATCTTGTTGTGATGAGTTTACACAAATCTTTGAATTTTTTTATTCGTAGCATCTGTTTCTGGATCAGAAAGTCCAGGCCCTATGGGTACCAGCACAATAAGCCCTATCTCACCTATCAATTTGGCAGCTACTAACACGTATTCAACACCAAGTGGGAATGCAAATGTCAACTTTAATACAGCTCTCAATGCAATTGATACGTCATGTCCATCTAGCAATACTGAATCGGCTAAACTGATGCGAAGTGATCTTGTCCGAGCTTCAGATCGTCCTGGTCGTGAAGAATCTAGTCGAATATTGGCGCGATTACGAGGTATTACAGACGAAATGGCTACCCCAGTTGTCGGTGGTGGTGGACTGACGGCTTATCCAAACGTCCCAGGTCAACGAATCAGTATTGATGCTGGTACCAGCACTGTGCGTCCTACTACTGCTGGTCAAAGGAAACCTGTTCCAATGACTTCAACAGGCTTAGGTGCAAATGCAAAAGTTTCACCAAGTTCTAATGTGTCCATGGGTAATGCAATATAATATTTCGTTCTGTATATTCTTATGTCTATATGGATATAGTAGTATGATTAATGTAATATATTCTAAGTATTTAAATTCTTCCCACTCTAGGAAACCTATTGATGATTTACTCAGTTAAACTTAAAGAGGTCACTGAGTGGTTTAAATAACTCAACTCTTCATACAAAACGATTATATTCCCATTCAGACAAATATGGCGTATACTACTGATAAGATTTATCAGTGGTATATAGAGAGGCGTTCACTGGCATAAAAATATCAAATATCAGGGAGATAGATATGAAATCAAATAAGGTAAATGATTCAAAGATGAAAACATGATACGAATGTCAGAATTAACACAACAGGGAAGATCTGTGCAAATAGCGGTTTTCATATCTGGTGTACATAATTTCGCTACATAACGATACTAAATTCCAAATAAACATTCCTTTACCAAGTCTCTTATCGTCTACCGTTACACTAATACGTAAATAAGTTGTGTGAAAGCTTATAGAAATATGAAGAAGAAATACTGCTAAAAATGGGTAGAGCATAAGAATACTAATCCCAAAGCACTTTAGTTTCCCTTCATTTTTTTTATTACACTTATTATGAGGAACAGTAATTCCAAATGCTTAGCCAATGAAATGCGGCAAAGTGAGAAGCAATCAACTTTCGGTAGGTTAACCAAACTAGGCGTACTGTATTCAAGTCAGCATCACCTTAAACTTGTTCAACTTTAACAATCTTGTCTAGACCGAAGACCAGTGCCTTTAAACAAGATAATTAGGATGACATTTGGTAAAGGCTGAAATACAAACTGTTTTTAAAGAAGAAAATTTAATAGTACAATCAGTTTGAATTTCATGTTTGTTTTACAAGCTATGGGATTATTCTAATAATTATATTTATTTATATAAGTTTAAACGGGAATAAAACATTTATTTCAAGAAAAACAAAAACATGGTGCAGTTAATCTATTAGAACAAGACATATAAGCGAATAATATTGTTTTCAATTAGATCTTCTTCAGGCTTTACTCTACTCAAAAAATTTTTACTTTTTGAACGATATGACTAAAACAAGGAAAGCGTTTTATACATTTATTCTATTACAAAACAGCATTATATACTTAGTGATTTAGAAGACAGTAGTAGGTTACCGGACATTGACGTCACTTTAAATCTTTTCTTATCATCAGGGATGAAAGTAATTGCATAGTTTATAAAATTATTACACTACTACCACACACCGTGCGTCGGTGGCATAGCGGTTAGGACGCTCGCCGACCATGCACATGGTCCGGGGTTCGATCCCCGGCCACAGACGCACTCCTTTACCTCGCTGAGCCAGAAATAATGCTGGTGAAAAGGAAAGGTTAAGCATGAGGCTAGCAACCACATCCTGTAAAATAAACACTGCTACAAAAACTTCAAGCCCCTAGCTTGAAGACCTATGTTCCACTGGGGAACATGAAGGAAAAAGAAGACTACCACACACCGAGTTCTCAGTTCTGTTGCTTAGGTTAAGAAACTAAACCTAAGTTCTACTTCACTCACCTGATTATCTCTGAGAATTCTGAAAACAGTATTTTTCTTACAATATATACCAACTTTTTCCTTGACACTAATGTTTGTGAGACTAATTAGGTGTAAAGTTTTTGTTAACGAAGAATTTCAATCCTGTAAACTGAATTATCTTGGTTTCCTTGTTTTTCCTGTATTAAGTCCATTCGCAGACTGATAGTTCATTAAATGTATGTTGATGGAATACTTAGTATACTGCCTATTCCAAAGTCTTGTTTAATGTAATAGATTTTAAAGGAACTATAAATGTGAATGTGTAAACTACTAGTTGAGAGCGGTCAACATTCATAACTTTTTTGGTTCTTATTTGATTTCAGTGATTATTTTTCCTGGTAAGCTTATATCTTCAACACGGTTGGCTAATAATTCAAGAAATGTATATTGATTCACTTCAGCGTAGGTTATTTATACTAAGGCGTAAACAAATAATCTGAATATGTAATATATATATATATATATATAAATTGAATTAGGCTTTGAAATAAATAACAACTAAGGGAGTGTAAAACATGCTGACATATCTCCTTTTTTATTATTTACACAGCTATGCACCAGTGACTGAAGTATGTGTCTTACCCTGTGTTTTCTGAGCTAGGTGGTGGTCTTATTGCAAGGCTGCTGTTGATGACTATTTCACTTCATTTATTCAGTATTCCTCACATGAGTACTTCAAAGCTGTGATGCTAAAATTTACCAAGTTTCCAATAGTATCAACATAGTACTTAATTCTTATGACTTTTCTTTTGCTTATACAGCACGTCGTACTCATACGCTTAATTACGGTACCACAACCTCAACATCTGGAACTTCTCATACTGGAGATCAACAACATTCCGGTAGACGTACACAAATAAGTTCAAACACAAGTGGTCGGAGTGCAGGTTTTGACAGTCCTAATCCTAGAAACTCTGTTGCGCTTTCTGGTATCACTGGTTTATCTAGTGGTCTTCCTGTTTCCCCCTTATCTACTGGCAATTCATCCGATAAGTCTACATCTGGTAGTTCATGCACGGGCGGTAACAATCAGGTTACGACTAATGGAGCTGGGAGATTACCATCTCATGAAATTCGCAGGTTAGTTTTGAATGAATTAAATGCTTCATCCAATCATACACTGTCATAGTTTCTTTCATGGCTTACTCCACTGCTACATGTAATATCTACAGTTATTTAGCAGAAGCTGTACATATACTTGAATAAATCTCTCCCATGAAGTATTCCACCAAGGGTGGCAAGTGAATTTATGTGTTTGTGTGTGTGTGGTTGGGAAGGCTGCACTGACTAGCATTCATTGTATCTACCGAATTTATGTGCACCACAAAATGCTGGTCACTACTAAAGTTGTTCTACAAATTTGTCATTCTGCCGAATGTAGATCTTGACAACATTTGTTCTGTTAAGTATTCTATCATACCACAGTGTTAAAACTTGTTCATAGGTTTTCAGTTGTCTTGGATTGCATGGTGAAGCCTAGATATTGTACAAACACATGATGATGAATTCACCAGTTTCTAGTTTAAACGATGTATATATGAACATGTATATCTATATATGAGATTTCGAAAGCTTACTACTCCTGGCAGCTACAGAACTTAGTTGATAACACACTTAAAATCCTGAACCTTTGTAACACCTTTGTATCCAAATTATTCTTAATCTCATTGTATATAGCTTACAGGTTATTCCTTTTATTCTTTCCACATATTATTATTTCTTCATCTTGTCCATTTGATATGAATATGTTCTGTTCTTTACTCTAAATTCCTATCATGCTAAGATGGTGTACAACCATAGACCACACTACACTGCCCCTCATTCATTTTATAAAATCTATGATATACAAAATCTTGAATAAAGATGTTCTCATTTCTTATATGTATAACTGTTATAGGAATTTTTATTGCGTGCGTCAGTTAATCTTTGTGTTGTTATCATTATTATTATTATTATACTATCAACACAATAATGTTTTCCAATAATCAGCAATTTCTGTTTAATGGATATATCTGCTTTTTAATAATAAGAATAATCATAACCATTAGTAGTATGGTAATAAGTAGAATGAAATATTCATATTCTAATCTCTTCTCGCTCTCCTTCTCCTCCTCCTCCTCCTTTTATCACACAAGTCTTTGGCACTAATCACTACTACAACATTACTCTTAGGTATGCGCGCACAGTTTGCAAGAAAAAAGAGAAAAAAAAGTGAAGATTCTCAAGTACACTTTTCTTCTCTATAATAAGATGATTTAAACTCCACTAGTATTATGTATTGATTTGATTGATGTGTGCTTTACACCTTTAGTGTATATATATATATATATATATATATGATGGTGATGGTGATTATGATGACAATTGATCAAAACGGAGCATTTTTCATGCTGATTATGCATTTGTGTTTACGTGTGTGTGTGTGTGTGTAGTGGTATTGTCATGTGATAGTGTGTGTAAATACACAACTTGCGTGTAAGGTCATTCTGTCTTATGAAGCAGTGTTGTGTTGTTTTTGTTCTATTACACATTGATGCGTGCATATACGCATCTATACACACCGACACACATTTTCAAAAAAATATATATCTATCGATAAATAAAAACTTTTTTCATAAGAAAATAAATCCATATATATATATATATATTAGGTTAGAACCATATTTATTGATCATAGGCATAAGGCATTTCATTTATAATAATACCAGTGAATCGTAATTGCATTAAATAATGACGTTCTTTCAATAAATCTGTGCAACTGTTTATGATGTGATATACTGCCGTATATACACCATCTATCTCAACTGAGATTCATTCATTGTGGTGACATGTAGTAGTAGAGTCTTTCTTTAGTTACTATACTGTATGATAGTTACAAATATGCAAATGCATATATGTATATCTCTGATGTATATTACATAACACAACTGTCAGAGTCCAGCTGCTATGTCAATATACCCCAAGTTTCTGGACAACTGACTGGTTACTTACTTACTTACACATTTGAGTACAGCTCATAGCTTACTTATCATATGCGAGATAACTGAGTTTCATTATTTATCTTGTGTTACGATTGAAAGTAATATTTTTATTTGTGCACGACAATTCAGTACAGCATATCTCCCAGCTGTGGACAAAGCCAGTCTTGATTTAAGAAATAAGAAAATATAGCCGTGTTATATTCCATGTGGGTCCAGGTTCGATTCCTGGCCGACACATGACTAGATCTCGCTTGGGCGATAGTAAGCCCGGTAAAGAAGGAAAGTTGAGCTAGCAACCTCACCCTGTAGAAAATAAAACACCGCCGCTACTGAAACTTTATAACGCAAGGTTGAAGTCCTATATTCTACTTAGAACAAAAAAGAATGAAGAGAATGTTCCATGTAGTATTCATGGCAAGAGTAAACAATAGACACCAAGGCCGGATAACCTTGAACCAACCAATCAGATCTCCCAGCATTACAAATGAATGCTGTTCATAATCTTCGTTGCAAGTTTCACTCAGATTTGCTTTTTAACTTCTGTGTGGAAAATGGGTTGATAGAGAGGACTAAAACATGCATATGTGGAGGGATAATGACTCTGCAAGAGTATTGCCGGGCTACTGATGGTTATGCATTCAGGTGCAACCACTGTTATATGAGGAAGTCTGTAAGAGTTGGTAAGTCGTACATTATGATGATTTTTTAGATACTTTCTTCTCGAAATCGAAACTCCCCCTCAGTAAAATATTGCGTATATTCCACAACTGGCTACTAAAGCGACCAGTATCTGCTACAGCTTCAGAAACAGAGAATACTAAAATGTCAACGGTGCAGTGGTATCAGCACTGTCAGGATATTGCGTCACAAAAGATCAATGGAATTACTTCTGTACTTCAAGGAGTTGGTGTCGTCGTTCATATTGACGAAACAGCACTTATTAAAAGAAAAATGAATCACTGTAGGAGAAGAGCGTATCATGTTTGGGTGCTGGGACTGTACGACACAAATCTTCGAAAAGGGTTTGTAGAACGCATCTCAAACACAAGTGCCAATGTTTTAATACCAATTATACAACAACTAGTCCTCCCAGACACTACCATCCTCACAGATGAGTGGAGAGTTTATTCGCAATCATCATCACTAGGCTATATTTATTACAAAGTCAACTATTCTTCTGAAATGGTGGATCCTATAAATGGAACCCATACAAATTCTATTGAAGGATTCTGGGCCCACTTGAAAAAAAGTATTAGATTGGTAAATGGTTCCCTGAATCATATGGTATGTAGCCATTTAGATAAGTTTTTGTATCGATATTGGTTTGATTTGTCTATGACCATTTTTATGAAAAACTGGACCAATTTTTTCAGCATATTAGAGATATATGCGCTGCATAATCCAACTCTCTCTCTCCCCATATATATATACATATATATATATATATATATATTATAAATATACTTTTTTATTAATTAAATGCCACTTTCACCTAAAAGGATCTGACTGGTTGTTTCAAAGTCGTCTGAATTCGGTGTCTGTTCCTTACTGTTGCCGTACTCATAAAGAGAAAGTTCAGATTTTCTTTGATCACTCAAATTCCACCCTCACTAAACATTATCACCTATCATTAATTAAGCATTAATTGGCGTAAAGTTTAAATCCTATTGTAATTTGGCGTCATTGTTTGTTTGAGACTCATTGTACTGTACTGCATTAAGAATCCCATGGATGAGGCATATTTTCACAAAGTTTGCTTCAGTTTTGTCAGAGCAGTGATACAACGCATTAAATTACCTACTAAACAGTTTTATTGCATTGATCCCGTTCACGGGAATATATAGCTGCCACTTTATAATAACCCAGTCTCATGAAGTGTTTGTAATTTTTTACTTTCAGTCACGTTACTCCTGCACTTGTTCCTATGACCACTCGTACAACTAAAGTACATCATGGTGCAAACATATCTGGAGGAACTGGTGGCGGTTACCATGCAGGTTTATTACTAGAAAGGTCTGCAACTGTAAGTGCCAGTGGTTCTAATTCTAGTGGGAATGGAACATCGTCAAGTCAAAGCTCTTCAACACGTGGTGGAGGTGATTCTGTTGGAACTGGAGATTTACATCGTCATCAAACAGGTCCTAATGCTACCAGCCGAAGTGGGTAGGTCTACAATTTTTGCTTTAAGGAAACTTTACCCAAGCTATAATCATCTTAAGCGTAATATGGTATTGTTAACATTTGTTTGTAAACTGTCTATAGTATTCGATAAAGTTAGCCTACTATTCCTTCCAGAATTTGTTAGCATAAGCTTTCGCAAGTTTTATAATGTTGTAACAGGTATTCCTAAAAATATTCATCTCTCAATAATGATTTTACATTATATTATAGAGTCAACGATCATGGTACAGCATCATTCAATCGCAATGATTTTACCTATAGTTCACTTAGGTAGGATTGTGTCAGTGTTGTATCACATCAGTTCACTTCACAATATATAAATTATTAATATGTGTATATCACCATATTCACTGCTAATATCTCATGCTTAAAACCACTAATCATCACTTGTTGATAAACATATTTATATTGATACTTCAGTGTGTGTGTGTGTGTGTGTGTGTTTCATTTGTGTCCATTATTCATTGTATATATCACAAAACACTCATGTTTCTTTTTGGATATCTAACAATTAATAGTTGCACAGTATTTCTTTAATTGGTTTATTTGTGTATTGAATTCCTTTTTTTCCATTGCTTCACTTTCACTTTTATCTATTCGAAATTATGTATAATGCACACTGTATAATTTGGGTGAATAGTGTACTAACTGTCTTAAAACTAAAGTCTTGTATATCAAGTGTTATTACTGTGATTTTGAACTAATTATTGGCTTAGTTAGCAAAATTTGTGAAGCACATAAACTCTAATATCCCTGCGAGTAACTGAGATTTGCTTATGCTTTACTCAACACATTTCGTTACTAGATGGTAAATCTGTGAGACACTCTGTAAATCGTCTGTGCCAGTTAACCATAGGTACTTCAATATGCGCTCCTCTTACAAATCACAGCTGTGTAATACACTATATAATAATATATATATATACATATATGTATGTATCACTATTGTGATTGTATATTTACCTTGAGGAGATTTTGTTATCATCAGCTTCCATTCTTATAAATTACTTGTAGACCATCTATGATTACTTCGGCCAGTTGGAAATCCAGGCAAGCTGTTTTTCACATTTGCTTGCTTCTTTTATATCATAATGTATAATAATCTTTAATGGCTCTCTCATCATTTATTATTGTTCTTCACATTGTAACCATATTCATTGCATGCAATTATGACTAGTGTAATTTTGCTGCTGGGTAAATAATTACTTGCTTGTATTTAAAACTCTTGCTCTATATTCGCCTTCATTAATACCACTTTGTTTTCGTTTTTTGTTCGTTTCCTTTCTGTTATCTTTTTTTTTCTTTTTGGTCTTTTCGAAGATAGTAGAGCTATACACGTTAAGAGAAAAATCTGCTCAACCAATATTCAATTAAATATCTTGACCAACGATGAGAACAAGTACTCATTTCCGATGACCTTTTTTTGTGCTCGAAATCTAGGAAATAGTGAATTACTGGTTTATTTCTTTGACTCGCGCTAAGTAGTGCTCTCTGAACTGATAATTTCTTAATGTCATGTGTTTAGAAATGATTTGTAAACTGACTGTCACACACTAAATAGTTTCACTCTATGTTCTTAATTTTTAAGTCAGTACGACACACTGTCATCGTCATATGATCAGAACAGCAGATAAAAACAACCTCATTAAGAGAGGTTTATAATAAGTTGGAATGTGAAGTGCAACCATGTTTAAATTCGTTCACTAATCAATGATCCACATCTATTCTGTAAATGCTAATTATGACTGAGTTTAAACAAACAACTTTGCATAGTAAATGCAGCAGTTCAAGTTGCCATATTCCATAGAGCATATAGCAAGGTAAAGAAGGTAGAGAAAAGAAATTCAAAAGAATTGTAATGATCAAAAGTCTACAGGATAAGGAATACTAACATAGAAAAGTATGAGGATTCAATGGATTTGGGAGATGATTACAAGTAGTGAATGCATTTATACCATTGAGAACGGTTTTGAACCATATCACCTAAAATCGATTTGTTTTAAGTTTGATTATGGATTGATATCATTTAGAGAACCAAGAAAATCCAGGGAGTGCTGGTTTCTTTCTAGTTCGGGACTCACCGGGTTTCGAACCCCGGTTTATCTGCTAGGCAGGGAGGACGAATACTTGCCGATGATACTGTCTGGTGGTCATGCTAAAATTATGAATCGATAGAAGTTAGAATCCATGGGTCGGCCACCGAGTTGGGTCCCAGTGGCCGAATGGTCTACGAGCTTGCCTTTTAACCGGAAGGTCTTGGGTTCGAAACCCGGTGGGCACCTACTGCTGGTGATGAGTCCAGAACTAGGACGAAACAGCCGGATGTCCACTACCTCCTGGTTTTCAATGATTTTCTAACTTATAACAATCCGTGGCCAGGCTTGAAACACGGTTGTTTTATTGTTGTGTAACTCTATTTCATACGAAATTTTATCTTATTGAATTCTTACATTTGATCACTTCACAAATATCTCTTTTGGCACTCATTAACTTACTAATATTTCTACTTAATCTCATAACAGATTAACAAATTCCCAATGTTATACATATATATGGGCTATTGAATTGTTGTTGTTACAAGTAATCGATTAATTTAGTTTATTAACTAGGCTAACAAATCTTATACAAGTGAATGTTCTTTCTTATCGGCTAGTTAACTATCAATGTATGTCCAACATATAGACATACATTTTGATTTTATGTTTAATCTGCCTACCTGGTGTAAAGTTTTCTTTCTAATGCGTGGGCTAAATTGTACCTACGTATATTCTAGTGTTTCCACTATTTGTGAATAGTTAAACAGCTATGCTATTTTAGAAGCTTATTGAAAGCTAGTCAATTCTAATCAATAAATGTTTGACCCTCAACAGTCACCTGTTTTTACCTGTGAAAATTGAAACCATCGAATTCATTTTCATTCAAACAGGGTTAAAGGTTCAATATACATACATTAAATTGTCATGAGAATTGATGATTTATAAAATCAACTGTTTAACTCAGTTTCTCAGATCGCTTTTAATCTTTAAGATCTTAGCGATATATATATCTATCTGTCTATTCAGAAATACGGAGTAGAATTCTACCATTTTTCCTGAAGATAATCATAAAATAACCATCAGCCTTGTCTTCGTTCTGCGAAACCTCCTCAGTTGACTACTTCATTTCAAACAAATAAAATTATATTGGTTTCTGTTGTTGTTTCTCCCCACATTTATACATACATAAATTTAGAAGTTTCGTCAATTACATACCTCATCAATCTACAATTTTTTTTTTCTTGCAATCTGTTTCTTCTCTATATACGTTATTGTATTGCTCCTATATGAAATTAAATGTTAATTATTTATTGGTTGTTTTATGTGTGCTCTTTTATACTCACTTATCTCGCTCACATTGGAATTCAATTCTTTGTGTATCTGCACGTCCGTGTGTAGTTAATCAGTTATTAAATTATATCAAAATAATTGTTCGTTGAAATTTGCTATTATAAAAATACCTATCTCCAATCTTCTCATTTCTTATTTCCTGTTTTTAGTTTATGAATTTATGGTTTTCATGCAGTGAAGTATGTGCACTATTGTGTATTTATGCCATACTCCTTTTTCTTACTTATCACTTATATTTCATGATAAAGGAATAACGTTTCTTTTTTTACATTTTTCAGAATGGGCACATCAGGTAATCAGGCGTCGTCCATTGCTTCGTCTGCTGCTACTGGGCGTCGTGGAGTATCCATTACTAGTGCCAACAGTAACACAGCATCTGGAGTTAACAATGGTACAGGAACAATCATGGAGACTACACCTTTTCCTAGACTTACACCAGAACGTCGTACTATTCATTCACCAAATCAACCAAACATTGAATTTGATTTTGATACTTCGAATACGAATCCTGGTAATACTATAGCTGCTCGATGTATGAATGTACCTCTTGCTGGTGCTGGAACAGCAAACAGTGGTGGCATGTCCCATTTAACTCCCTCCGGTACTGGAGGTCTTACCTTCTTCAAGGCACTTACTTCCAAAATTGGTAGACGGTGAGATGCCTTGTATATTCATTTTTTTTACTTATTAGAATAATTTCACACTTTTATTATGTCCATATGGTAATAAATAAAGCGACCGAAGCTGCTGATCATATATTTTTCGCCTGTACCCAGAAAAGTTGACAACTTTAGGAGTATGCTGAAGTTTTACTGTCTTTCTGTGTCTTAGCTGCCATGATTTGGTTGATGGTTGTGTATTAGTGTGTGTTTATGTGTTTGGATTTCTGATGTGATGGGATGTAGTATATTCAGGAGTTTCATGTGGTGCAGAGTAGCGCTACGGTATTTCGGTTGGTTTAACGGAATGGTGAACAGTTGTCATGTGTTTGATATGATATATACACACCTAAGAGTTATTACTACTTTTTGACTGTATATTTAAAAAAATATTCTTGTAGTCATGACCCCCAAGGCGTGCAAACTAGAAAATATTCTGTAAAAAAGTAAAATCTTTGTCGCCTAACCAACTCTACAAATGTTGCTTTCAAAGTCCGAAAGTTTGAAAGAATTTCTTTGCTACCTTGATTACGTGTTAGTTTGAAGTGGCTGGCTAATCGTAGTACATTCAGATATCATCACATGAATCTTAAGCTTTGATCTCTAGTGCATCTGAAAATATCCAATTCTAGAAGCATTATTTGCACCCACATAATACTATACTATATTGTGAATCTGTTAAACTTTTATGATTCCGAATGGGTGGATATCACGAGAGAATACTGACATTTATGAAGATTGTTTGTCAAAAGAACGTCGACTATTTACATATACATGCGTGGGAAAGACTAAATTGTAACGTAAGAGTGCTATTAGTTTAATATTTACCTGCTTCGTCTTCCTGCATAGCGTAGCTTACACTTAATTTGTTTCCTATTCGTTGCAGTATGGAAATCCTGTTAAGTTTGTGTGGTTACTAGTCATTGTTGCAGTTTAGTTCATATTGAATTCTTTATGAAACATGCGTTAAAAGCTAGATCCTTACTGTAGATAACTATTTAACGTCGTTATTTTTGTAATCTCCTCACTACTGTTAACTTTGTATCGTCATTTTCTTCCAAACAATAAGATGTATGTTGGTTTATTATTACCCTTAAAATTGTCTTATTTTTTTCCAGAGGACCCAACACAGGAGCTATGGGAAATGTGTCTCATACATTCACTGGGGGCACTGAAATTTCAAATATACCATTCTCTACAGCCGATTCTAATATCGGAGCTTCTACAACCAGTTCAGGATCAGGATATATACCTGGAGAGTCAGCTTTCTCTGATATTAGCGGAGGTTATAACGAACCTGTAAGTCAAGCAACTCCGGGTGGTAGTTCTGCAGGCTCCCCAGTTTCTCAAGGTGGCAATCAGACTATTTCACATACAGATGATAGTGTTAACGATCAGACCAAACCACGAAGTTTACGTTTTACCTGGTCTATGAAGACAACCAGCAGTATGTGTCCAGATGATATGATTAAGGAAATCAAAAAGGTTCTTGCAGCAAACAACTGTGAATATGATCAACGCGAAAGATATCTCCTCATATGTGAACACGGAGATCCAAGCACGGATGCAAACGTTCAATGGGAAATGGAAGTCTGTAAACTTCCTCGTCTGTCTCTTAATGGAGTTCGTTTCAAAAGGATTTCGGGAACTTCTATTGGGTTTAAAAATATCGCTTCCAAGATTGCTAATGACCTCAAACTTTGACCGATAACACTTCCGTTCGCCTGTCAATCTATTTTATATATCACAGTACGTGATTTTATTTATCTGTGTATACTCAAAGTGCCAGATTGTAGCTATTCATGAAGTCTTTTGGCTATCACCAACACTTATGCTCAAAAGTGTGGTAGTTTTTTATTCAGTACTTCATGTTTTTCTCCCAAAAGCTTTGACATCTTTTTCTTGACATATAGCCCATAATGACAAGTGTTTGGTAACTTCGGGTTTACTTTTTGTCTGTATGCGTTTCATGTGTGTACGCATTTGTACAGGCCTGATAACACCCACCTCGTTAATATGTAGATGTTAAATTTCAAAAGCTTGATACCATCTGGTTTGTATTTTAATGGTTATTTTCAACAGGATTACCTTCAGACGTGTTTTGTATTCTTTATTTTGCTGAACTTATACACTAAGATGCGTACTCCATTCATCACACTAATGCAATCGCATTCGATCGTATATTGTTCTGACAGTATACTCAGGATTTGTTATTAAAGATATTCATTTATTTGTTCTTTTACCTTAGTATGTGTGGTTAATTACCTATGCATACTCCCCTTTTATTGGTGCTCAGTAGTGAAGATGAAATAATTGATGAAAGTAATGACATTGTCTGTGTCGTATAAATATTTTTTTATATCCTTACTTTTATCTGAAAACTTCGTTATTGTTGGCGGGTTTGTATTTTACTATGCTGGATATTTTGAGGCAGTAATAATGAGTGGATCTTCTATAGTATACGTATGTATACACTACTCGTTGGTTTTCTTATCCACTGTTTCCGAGCTCTATTTCTTTTCATCATTATGTTCTATTCCTTTTTTTTTTATATGTAACTTCTTTCCACAGTTTTCAGCCGCCTTCACCTTTTCACTTTTACTGGGTATCAGCTTGTTGGTTTTACGTGTGTATTAATATTATTATTTTGTCCAGAGATTCTGTATCCTTGACATCTCTTTAGCCCTTCTCCAAATATACTGGCTCACTGTTGTTTTTGTTATTGTTGTTTTATTTCCTGAATACCACCTAATGTTCCGTGAACTTTTTCTTCAACACGAGTACAGTAATACACACTATCTCTCATTTAGTAGTCCTTTTCTTTTGCTTCAACATATTCATGCGCCGCTTGTTTTTTTCTTATGTTAACAAAAACAATTATTTTCAAGGTACTGTATAAGTAGTAAAGTAGAAGATTGTTTGAATCTCGTATCAAGCATGTCACCTGTTGTCCTTATTTTAGGGAATGATAGTGTATTTATTAGACAATAATAATGTGAATTGTTGTGTTTTTGTTTCTTGTAACTTTTCTTTACTGTATGTATGTATGGTCTTGTTAAGTTATTCTGGTATGCATTCATTCGTTCTATGAATAGATTTTGAGGCCTTTAAATGTTATCATTATTAAAGGTGCTCTCTTTCTCTCTCTCTCTCTCCCTCTGTATGTTCTCAAACTGAATCTCCTTACTGATACTAATACACATGACGCTGAGTAGTAGTAAGTGAACATAAATTATAAATGCACTTTTTTTTGAATAGTCATACATATTACTCTTTCTTCATCAAGTGCATTTTTCCAAATGTACAAACCCTATCTTGCTGTGTTTACACCAAAACTATTTCCACTGTTTGTATGTCTTGGATTATTCTCTCTTTTATTTCTTGTTGGGTTTTTTTTTTACAACACCTTATTGTTAATTTCTAAACTAACTTCTACATATTTTTTTTTTCAATTTGTGATATGGTGATTCCACTTTAATTTAACTCTGTACAAGGTATTTATTTTAAATGTTGGTTTTACACCCTGTCAATCACAAACAGTGTTATTATTTTTCTGATGATGTTTTGGAGTTATTCTCTATTTCTGTTTCTCCTGTCCTCTAAACCCCCACCACCACCACCACCTGCCACCAACCCTCCCCCCCTGCCAATTTTGTTTGTTTGTGTGTAGTAATTTCATTATATGTGATACAATAAACTTTACTCCTCTATGATGGTGGAGTCTATTCTCACTCTTCATATCGAGTTCTCTTTCTATTCGTGTGCGCACTTCATACACATACATACATACATCACCTGCACTGTTTAATTATTCATCTCTTCTATCTATATTTGTATATGTGTAAAATTACTATTAAAAATGACTGTTTTTAGCGAGTGAAATCAGTTTGCATGAATTGAATGTTTGTTTGTTTGTTTCTAAATGAAGGAAGGACTCATGTTATTCATAGGTGTTTTCGCCGGTGACTTTTTTGCGAAAAATGAAAATGCAGTTTGTGCTACTCGCTATTATTATTGGAGAAGAGGAAGAAAATGAAGAAGAGAAAGGAGAAGATTTCACTATGTCATTATCATCTTTATATTTCTTTGTTTGTTTGTTTTGCTCCTGCCTTTCCTGATTGATTAGCTGTGACTAAATGCTGTGTGTGTTAAACTTATGCTCGCAGAACAAAAGTTTATATATTTAGTAGGCAGTATATAATAATAATAATAAAAGGGGATCACCTTACCTTACCTTACCTGAATGGTAATTAGCATTATAAAATAAAGCACTGTTTGTACTTAAAGAAAAATACCCTGTGTTATAATTATACATATACATAATGCATATATTTACACTGTTACCATCCAAAGTGTGTGTTTGCTTATCCCTTGTCTTTTTTTTTGTTCGTCTTTTAAAACGTTTGTGTGTGTGATTCATTTAGTTCAGAGAAGAGAGTTGTTCTTCAACTATTATCTCTTGTATTATCCATTTTTAAAGGCTACATCGATTTCGCACGCACGCACATATAAATCATCTTGTCCAACTTCGCATTGCATATATATATATATATATATATATATATAATTCTAATCTTCCATATTTACTAAGATTCAACAACCACGTGATCATTTTAATGCACTTAATTGTGTAGAATTACTGCTACAAACGAATGAAACTAGTGTTTTACAAGTTGACTTCTTTCTTCTTCTGATTATTATTGGCTACATCAGTTCACAGTGTTTTTGAAGTAAACTACAGGTATCCGACACGATATATATATGCAATAAAGAGTTGATAGGCGAAAAATTTATCTCAAAAAGAAACTGTCGAAATTGTATTTTTTTTGTACATAAATTTCATTGTAGCAGGTGTTCGTAATTAGGGCAGTTTAGGAGAAGTTATAGATCTGTGATTATTAACCATTCTAATTTAATATACGAATTTAATTGCAAAACAATTGAAACCATCTTCTGACGACTAACTTAAGCATTTATGAGGACACCTACTCACTGATGACACATCGGCTGACAGTCGCGTGACATATCACTAACTGGCAGAAGTTTTAATTCATGAGTCATTGAGTTCCGTTCCAGAGTCTCAATGGATTACGAGTTCTTGGGTTCGACCCCTGGTGGTGGGTGCGTGTCGGTGAAGTGTCCCGAATAAGGACGAAGCAGCTGTCCAGTACTCCATGGTGGTTTCCAGTGGTTCTCTAGCTTAAGTCAGTTAACATATTCAGTACTTGTATTGCATCGAATTACAATACTTCACAAATTTACCTTCTTTATTACTTGTCTAGGATGTCAATCATGATGATATTCCTACAATAAAGAATGGAGCAAACATTTCCGTTCACATTAAGCGTAATACTTCACAGGGATAATTTCTTCCCTTTCATCACAGCCTGACCTTGTCAATAACTCCTTCGGCTATATCTGTTTACTTACTGCGTACCTATAAACCTGAAGTATGAAGTACTTCAAAACAAATAATCTTTGGCTATCTTATCCGCTCAAGTGTATGTATTTGGAGCATATAGGCTCTCCTCTCGAAGTACACAAATTCTGTAATATGTATAGCAGGCTATAATTAGAAATTTGGGTGATACACCATATTGGTATTCTAACTCTTCTATAATATTTTGTGTTAAAGTGTTCTTCGCTAAAAGCGAATAACTGTGCACAATTATTATTCAGTATGTGCTATGTAAGGATGTTATGTGACGTGAGTATATAAAACTTTGGCGGAATAAATATAAAAACATAGTTTCAGTTAATAATGCCTACAAGTCAATTAATTATATGACTTCTTTACGCCAACTGAAAGAACTGTATTGTTTTTAAAATACCATTATTGCGTCATAGAAGTGCTTGTCTAGAGTCACTTCTTGATATAACTGTCCTTTGCTGAAATTTTTTTGGAAGTGATTGCGTAACTATCCAGTTTATTCAGTACGCGTAGCCCAAATTTTTGATATGCATATTTTTCATTTGTCTTCTTTCAATCGATTTTAAGGGCTAGAAGTAACTGTAATCGTTGATCCAGATAACTTCAAAAATTAGTAGCACGCATAAAGTTGCCTATGCTTTATTTAATATATACTCCGTTACTTAAAGTTTCAGTCGCTGTCGTATTACATGGTTCCTGGTGGATGCATTTTTTGTGGGTTTATCTCTGAAGATGTATCCCAATGTGTAGCGACTGTCAATTTAATGGTCCCTTCCGCTTTTCATTACTAATTAAATAAGCTAAAGGAAAAGAGATTAAGGAATTATGTGTAGACACGTAATCACACAAAACGTCAACTGTTCCAACCAAGAGAACATTAGCGAATGAGGAATTTGCTTTGAAAGGATACATATTTTATTTTTAATGTTATTATGATCAAGGCAATTGGTCACCTCAAAATATTTTCCTGAATATATAATTATAAAATTATTTTTTGATCGGATCCACTAGCCATTGAATAAATTTCTATGTCGGTGATCTACTCATTGACATCATAGGATGATTGGCTTTGTGTATTTCAGATTAACGATACGATGTGGAAACTCGCATTCTTCTAGCTTCAATGAATCGGGCTTCATTCGGTCCCCGCTGAAGTCAGGGGTGCACACAAATGAGAAGCCCCAAACTCGTACGAAACACCAATTCAGTGCTGCCTAGTTGTGTTCATGGATTCTCTAACTGATGTTGGTTCGTGGCGAGATCTTTAAAATTAATTAGAATACCTACAAAACTCATTGTTATTCAGTTAGCAAGTTTTATACCTCAAGTATTAGGAATTATTTTAAGTAAATAGAACCGTATATGCACATGAAATGATTGTTAGCCAGATAGTAGACGGAGTGGTTGTATTTTGATGTTGCCTTCTCTTAGTAGAGTGATGTAAACGCGTAGCTTTTGCTGTCCTTCTAGACAACATCAGTGCAAACTTGACTATGAAGTATGTATCGGTGTTTCATTCGTAGAACACACACCAACCGCTTACTTGGTCCGGGTTCTATTCCCAACCGGCGCATTTTTAAACCACGTTTAACCGGTAGAAAGACTGGCGAAGAGGATAAGTTGAACATGACGGTAGCAACCACACCCTGTAGAAAGTAATACCACCTCTGCCGGAGACTTCAAGCCCTATTGTCCAATTGGAATGCAAAGGAATGAAAAAGGACTTGCAGTATACCAGATTCTTTGATAGTTAATTCGTCTAAAAGCAGTAATAAAACACGCTTATTTAATCTATTCACTCAGTGCATAGTGCACTCAAGCTCCTATGAAGATGGTTTTCTCCCGGAAGTTGGTCTATTTCACTCCTTGAGGTTTACTAAACTCAAAATAATTTCGTATCCATATGTTTTATTTCATATGGAAACAAGAATAATTTCTTACCAAAAGCCTCTATTACTCTTAGTTCACACTGTATTTATTGTATACACATGATATTATTAGAGTATATGTTGATGAAGAAGTTAATCCTCTACACGTGATCAAATCATGTAAGCACTATATACTTTTTTTTACAACAAGAAGTTAAATATAGAATACCCTTCAAGTTTTCTAAGTGGTTTTACACACAAAAGATATGATTAACTTTTCTTCATAGAACACTTGAATATGTATGTATAAATATTGATTATTTTTCTTTTTCAAAACTAATAAAGGGATATATTTCACCTTCAATAGCTGATGAAGATTATTCATCATAGTGTGTGTGTGTGTGTGTGTGTAAAAATATTACTGGTCTTTAAAACTTTTATGGAAATTAATTAAATTCAGTCATCCGTTTTTACTTTGCAGTGTAATTAATCGATCGACTTGTCGTGTGTTTTTTTAGGTAGGTAGATAGGTATGTTTTTTCTTATCCCTTGAAGAAGAAGAATAATAATGAAGTTATTTCTCGGTTGAGTGATTTTTTTTTGAAAATCTTCTCTACCCATTGTGTTGTTTAGGCAAATTGTATCCTGTTGCAGCCGTTTTACATTTCTCTCTGGATAATATACAGTGTAGAAATTTCCAAGTGTTATTCTGTAGGAACTTGGTTGATTTCATGTTTGTTCACGAATTGATATGATTTAGTGAACCGTTGAAAACTAGGATTTACTGGACAGTTGTTCCATCAGAGTTTGGGATTCTTTAGTAGTAGTAATGGTACTCACCCTACCGGGGATCGAACCGAGGATCTCCAGGTTACTAGAAGTAATTGTTAACCATTCATCCATTGGAGTGGAGTCCAGTCACAACTTCTCACTAGAACTCCAAGCAAATTCTTCCAGTAGAGTTAGTTACACCATAAAACTTAAAATCAACCTAATCTCTACTAAAATTAATCTGATGCTCACTTGTAACTGACTACAGGACGAAGTTGCCTTGAATTCTAGTGAGAAATCGTAACCACAGTAGTGTCCACCAAGTTGGGTGAAAGGAGAACTAATCTCCGATGACATTGGCTCGCGGTGGTAGTGGTAACAATCACAAGTTGACAGAAGTCTCGAAACGACTTCATTCCAACAACTAATTTACGTTAACTGAGACCTACAATACACTCTGCTGCATAATAATATAATCATCACATTCCTTTTACGATGTATGCAAACTGTTTAGGTAAAATCAGTCGTTGCAGCTAATTTCTTAATAAATCTGAGAATTACTCCTAGTAAACGATTATTATATTTACTATTCCTTTCTTTCGTTCTGTGTGAAGCATAGGGTCATAGCTGCACACCTTAGTTCGTTGCCAACTGGTTCTACGAATGCCCACATGTATTCATTTTGCTTCATATATATGAAACAAATAGGCAGGAAGAAATGGAGATGGATTGGCTGGCCATACTCTGAGGAAACCATCAAGTGACATCACTAGACAAGCCATTGCTCGAGTGGAACCCGAAAGGGAAGCGGCGAGTTGGTCGTCAGTGCAAGGGTGAGGGTGACTTGGAGGAGGTCATGTGAAGAGGAGATGAAAACGTGTGGGCAGACTTGGAGCCAGGTGAACCGAACGCAATGGAGACGCACGCCTGAAGCCCTATGTTCCTCTAGGAATTAAAGGAAACAACAATAATAATAAGTATATATGATCGCTTCCATTTTACCATCGGATGCTTATCTCATCGCTTTCTATTCGTGTTCCGATACGCGTACATAATTGAATCTTAAAATAGTTTGCTTTAAGATTGAGTAACATTCCTAGCTCCAGGTAAGAAATCCTAAGTACTAAACACTCTCAGGAAGCATAGCTTACTGTTAATTCTTGCTAAAGATGCAGAACTTGCTTGAAGTTCCAATCTCTGTACACATACTACTTACAATTTGAATGATATCAAGCAAGGTCTATGAGCTAATCACCAGTTTCAGCCAATATGATTCGTTCTCTTGTTAACACTGTTCAAGTTAGATGAATGTAGAAATAACATATATTCATTCAGATTACAAACAAAATTCTTCATGTCATCTCCTCTCACTTCAAAGTATGATCACTATGAAATAGTTTTTAAACTTATAAATTTCTTTTTAAGTACATACTTGATTCTGTTAAAATCCACTATAAGGTATACATTTTTTTTCTGATGCTGTTACACATAATGGAAACACATTCTATCCTACTGTCTTGTGTGTGTGTGTGTATGTGTGCGTGTAAATGTGTCTGTGTACACACACACACACACACAATAATGATTGTTAAAGCAAAGTAGTAATAATAAAAACAAGAATTTAAAAAGGTAACCATGTGGTCAAACAAATGATCGATCAAAATCGATCGATCAACTAAACACAAAATGA